CTTAACGATTATCACAAATTAGTAACAAAAGGTTTTGATTCACAGCTTTAAGATCAAAATGCCTACAAATTTTGAAAGATTCATGCCCGATTTGGCATGAAACTTTCAGAAAAGGCGGAAACCCTAAACACCAAATTTTTCGTGATCTAAAAACAACAAATTTTTCCACCATTTAATCCTTGAAAAAGCTGTATAAAGCTGTTTACAGCCTGCTAATCAGATCACATGCAAAAAAAAACAAGAAAAATGATAAAAAAATGACAAATTTCAAAGAATCCCGTGAAGAACACTGTGCAACCCGTGTTCTTCACGGACTCGCCGATTCCGCACAGTGAATCGGCGAGTCACTGTGCGGAATCGTCTGGTTCTCTCTAGAACCGGACGATTTCCGATTTTTTAACCGATCCGGTCCCTTTTCGCGATTTTCGAGTCGAACCGGTTCGACTCGGCGTTTTTTAAAACGCTGGTTAAAAGCATTGAAAGAAAAATCAAGCGATCTAACCAGTAACCGCCTGGTTAGATTGAAACCAGCCACTTGCGGGTTTGGATTTCGGCCTGTCTCAGTGATTGGCCAGGTATTTTTTTAAAAAATAAAAGATTATATAAAATCTAAAAAAATAAGTGATTTTATTTGCAATGTATTTTTTAATATTTTTCATCATTATGGAAAATATTATAAATGAAAAAAGTTTATATAGAGCCAAGGCTCTAAACAATCAAATTAGAGCCCACCTAAAAACTTTTACTACAAGAGTTTGTTTTGATGCCCAAATATCCTCAAATCGATCATGTCGACATCAAGATGTATCTACATGAGAAAAAAATGGATTTCAAGTTTTGAAAATAATGCATTTTGTAATGCATTTTTAGACTGTCGATTTTTAGGTTTTTATAGATCTGCTCGATCTATACTTTTTTGAATTTTTACATTTTATATTAAAATGGGAATATATTTTAAAGCTATCACAAAGATTTCAAGTATTGAAATAACATTTCTTGATACTATTTAAAGGTGAGCTTTATTTTGATTGTTTACAGCTTCGGCTCTATACAAACCATACCCATTACAAATTGTTTTGGCCATTAATACTTATTTTTTACATTTTCCCATCTTTTTTTAAAAAAATTCTAAAATACTCTTGGGCAAATTATTATTTAAATATACTTAGCATATATTTGTTAGATTTTTTTTGTATTTTTTAAATTTTTAATACTTTTTTGACTGCCTGGGATTTGCCCGATTAGGACAGTTGAAACGGCTAATTTAACGTTTAGGCCCGTTGAATTGCTTTTGAGCCCATGTCTAGTTGGATTTTTCCTACACTGGTTGTAAGTCGACACAATGGGTCGGATTAAGGCTCATAGAACTAACAAAACTATTTAGTCAAGAGCCAATTTTTAGTCACGCAACTTCATGATAATTCTATAAAGCTTTCGCATAATTTCTTTGGGATTGAGCTAACATCTGTTATAGTTGTTCATTCCATTTAAAGGATCTCCATTCTATAACAACCCGTGAGATTTCCGGAAGCACGTCACCAAAGGGGTGAAGGGTCATTTCCAGTCAAAATTTATCAGATCAGGGATCAAACCACCTAGAATGTTTAGTTTTTAGTTTTTTGTTTTTCGAATAATAAAACAGAATATTAGCTTTGAAATACGAAATATGTAATACAAAAAGATTTCCTAATGCTATTAAGTTAATCTAATAAGTTAGGACCAAACATTAGATCCAACCATGTTTTAATAATACACCAGCGCTCAATGGTGGTCTGGTCTTGATAGCATTAATAGTCTCCATTTAGTAACCTGATTAGATCGACTCCACAGTTGGTCTTGGGAATATTATTAAGGTAGGCATCAACGGTCCACATTCCACCCATACCCACATTATTGCTGCAGTTCCCTCACGTGGGTGGCTCTTACATAATCAACAAAAGTGACCTTCCAAAAATTAAAGGTTTTTTTTTAAAGACCCTCACATTTGTCTTTTTGTTTCTGTTTCACTTAAAAAAGCCCTAATCCCAATCAATATTAGTCTCTTTTTTTTTTGTTTTAATGTTCATGCTTACTTTCATTAATAAAAAGAGGCGGTTAGCATGCGGCCAGTTTGCATATTATAGAAATACGAGCTTGACAATAATTATATTTTTTAAATATAATGTTATCTTTATTTTTAGAGAATATATAATTTTTAACATGAATATGAACAAAATTTCAAAATTAGAAAAAATAATTATATTAAGTAAATATTTTAACAGTTAATTTCAATTATTTTTAAACTTTCCATCGACCTTTAAGAATGATGATTTATACCTTTGGATCACATATTATAAAAATACGACCCCAGCCGGCTACCAAACAATTGTTCTTAATTAAAAAAAGTAAAGCTCCAAAATTACCATAAAAATAACTGAACGAAACCCTCTTTCTCACTCTTTGTTTCTTCCAAGACACGTAGCAAGATGCATTAATGCATGAGCCAAGTCACAGCTTAAATTTGTATTTATTTTTTATAAATTAGTTTCATATGCACAGTCAATAAAAAGTGCACTTGAGACTAATTTATCTAAACATTGGTGGAAGATATACTTTTGGTGTTGAAAACTCTATTAATGGATTCTTAAAAAAAAAAAAAAACTCCTACAATGACCTGAAATCTATTTCCATCTTAAAATTAAAAGCTTTAAAATTATACAGATTGAACAGATCTAGAAGTGCTAGAAAATTTTGAAAATGAAATGTTCAAATAATGCGTTACAAGATGCATAAATTTTAGGAGTTTATATCATTTTTTTTTTATGTCAATATATATTAAGGTTGAGATGATCAATTGAAAGATTTTCCAATGATAAAAGTCAAGACAACATTTTTTTATAAGTTTTTGAGGTTCATCCTACTAATACGGACCTCGTATAAAATTTTTCCAATAATTTATATTTTTTTTTGGGTAAGTATTAATTTTTGTTTTATCCCGATAAAAATTTATTGCTAATAATATTCTCATTCCAACGAATGTACCATGATATTTTAGGACATCTCATTACTATCGCAATAAAATTTTTTTTTATGACAACATTCATGTAGTTTGAAATAAGAGTTTGAGAGTAAGGCTTCATTTACCTAAACCTTAAAATTAATTCTTAAAAAGTGAATAAGGCAAATTAGAAAACATCTACAAGGAGTTTATAATGAGTATGTAAGCTAAGGGAAAGTATATAAAAAGATTATTTACCTTTGGTACAAGGTTGTCACAATAAATCTTGACCATTGGATGTAACCAAGCTCAACATTAAAAAAAAAAATTCACGCGCTTGGTGATATATCTAAGCTTTCAAATTTCAAATCGAATAGTTGTAAGTAATTGTGACATCTCTATAATAAAGATAAAGATAAATGGTCTCATTGTTACAGTCCATTAGTTAAAGCTATTTAACATAATAGGTTTCAATATTCTAATTTTGGAAAAATTATAAAAATCTCTCAAAATCATACTTTATTGACAACTTCTCCCAACCAAGTTTTTTTTTTAGCATTTTTTACCTCAAATTTAACTTTCCTAACAAATTTCTTCAAGTAAAAAAAAAAGAGTAAATGAAGACAAAAAAAAAGAGTAAATTGAAGACCAAAATACCCTCTAGAAAGCAGGCGGTGCAGCACAAAATGGGAGCTGTCTGATATTTTGCTTCTGGAAAGTATGCAGTCCCAAACAAAATAGGGGTAGTTCGTCACTTTGAGCATGCGGTCTCGTACAAAATGGAGGCAGTCCGACACTTTGAGCTTCTAGAAAGCATGCGGTCTGACACAAAATAGGGGCAGTCCGACACTTTGGGCATGTGGTTTGATACAAAATGGGCACTATGGCATTTTCAACAAAAAAAAAAAAAATTTTTCTTTTTTGACTTAGGTATTTGCTACAAATTTTCAATTTTGGATAAAAATGGCTTAAAAAAAAAAATTGGTGGGAGAAGGTTATATAAAAAAAAAAACTCTTCTCATTCATAAACTTTCTATTTAATTTATATTATTTATAATTATTTCGTATTAATATCAACGGACGTTTATTCTATTTAATTTATATTATTTATAATTATTTCGTATTAATATCAACGGACGTTTATTTCGTAATAAATATTATCAATTTAATAGGGGCGTGGTAGAACAGTAATTTTGGTGTAAAAATTCTCATGATTATCTTAAAATCTATTTTCATATCTATCAAAATCCCACTCTCAACGGTCAAAATCCAAAAACTTAATTCCACTCATTAGGTACTTGGAACTAAGACAAAAACCCTAATCACAAACAAGCAGCTTTGAGCTAAACGACCAAAACTCTTTAACTTGCGTCTGCTCTCTCTCTCTAAACAGAGCAAAACAGAGAGAGAATAGCGGGTCGCCATGGCCACTCTGCAGCTTTTGCAGTCATCTGTTTTAGCAAAGGGCGGCCATTTCTCCTTCAGTGCAAGGAAGCAGCCTCCTTGGCCATGGCGAGGAGGCGTGCGCATGGGTTTGAGAGAAGATGGACCCTCCGTTGCAGTAGTTGGAGTTACAGGCGCTGTGGGCCAAGAGTTTCTTCGCGTTCTATCTGATCGTGATTTCCCTTATCACTCAATCAAAATGCTCGCTAGTGCTCGCTCTGCTGGAAAGCCCCTGTCTTTTGAGGTCTCTCTTATTGCACTCTTTGCCCTTTTGTTTATATGATGGTTGACTGTTTACATTTTGATATTTCGTCCTGTTTCTTTTTCTTTCTCATGGTGATTACTGCTTCATTTTGGGGTTTTTTCACAGGGGAGAGAATACCTCATTGAGGAGCTCAAAGAATCTAGCTTCGAAGGTGTAGACATTGCTCTCTTTAGTGCTGGTGGATCCATAAGGTTAATTCATTTATGACTTAATCTGTGAGTTTATTCATATCCAGTGTTCCAAAAAACTCCCAGCTGCCCCTAGGCGCTGGCCAAAAAACTTCACCTGCGCCTAGGCACTGGCCAAAAAACTCCCAGCTGCCCCTAGGCGCTCGGCAGATGCCCAGGCTGCCCAGAGCCTAGGTTAAAGAAGAGAGGAGTAGGGGAAGAAGAATAGCAGGGGAAAGGGGAATATGAGTATACATCATAAAATATTAAAAATCTCATAATCGAAAAGTTCCAAACCCTTGTATATTCTTAATATCCCGTAATCTTTCACACCAATAAATTAGTAATACAGTAACAATCCATAATAGTCCACATACCTTACTTTATGCTTCATAGTTCAATTATTCCATAATCCATGTTTCCATACAATGATACAACCATACAATCATACACATAGTAGTAGTACATAGTAGAAACTAGAAAAAAAAAAAAAAATACAGTCTAGGACTCTACACCAAAGTCAAGTGTCTTCAGCCATCATTAGAAAAAAAATAGGGTAAGCTTTATCATATACATCGGATTTGAGGCCATCATCATCAGAACAATTTCTTCTGAATCTGCCTCTTCTTTCTCTTCTTCTACCCCCTCTTACTTTGGGTAGATGAGGCCCTAGGAGTCTTGGCTGCTCTACCTGATGCCTTTTCACCATTTTCTTGGTTTTTGTATTTTGTTGAACTCAAATATTGCTTAATCTCCTCACTGGTAGCCTCATGAACATTTTTACACGGGGCAACATCTCCCTTAATACCGGCAATGTGTTTCTTGAACCGATAAATAGCCTAGTTAGTATCCTTTCCACAATAATTACATCATATATAATTTTTGTCATTCGGATTCGGATTATGACCATACTTCCAACTTAGATCATCACTTCTAGAAGAATTTGGAGAAGATATTTCCATATAACAAAGCTCATTTTCTTCCTTTACTTGTTTTACTAAATTCAAATATTCCTTTTCTAGTTTTACTAAATTAAAATATTGTCTAATTTCATCTCTAATACCTTTAGGAACTTTTTTACAATAAACAACATTCTCTTTAATACCGGCTAGGTGTTTCTTGAATTAGTTAATACCCCCATTGGTATCTTTTTCACAAAAATTAGACCTTATGCGATTTTTAACATTTGGTTTCGGGTTATAACCATACTTTCAAGCCGGATCACCTCTTATAGAAAAAACAGAAATAGGCCTATCCAAATGACAAGGCTTTTGTTCTTGTTTGTGCTTTATTGATCTCATATGTTCCTTAATCTCGTGTTTGATAGCTTCAGGAACATTTTTATAAGGGGCAACATTCCCTTTAATACTGACAAGATGTTTTTTAAACCGGTTTGTGTCCCATTTGTAGTATTTTCACAATAATTGTTTCTTATCCATTTTTTGTCTAAAGGATTCATGTTATAGCCTTATTTCCAACCCAGATCACCACTTCGATTAGATCCCGAAGAAGACATCTCAAAACAATAAAAGCAGTCTAGAAAAATAAAATTTTTCACTAACTTTGATTGCTCGATCTCCAAAATTCCATCTCTGAGATGTTTTCTAATTAACCTATAAAACCTCTAATAAACTTATAAAACCTCTAAAGCTAAATCTAATCTCAATGGGTGATGTCGATTTCTCGTAACTTTGAAAAACCTTTCGATCTTATAAAAATCACAAGAATCTAGTTTTTTGAGGTTTTTCTCACTCTAAAATGAGATCGAATGGGTTTAGGTTTTAAATGAACCTAAAACCCACCATTATCCCTTTTTTTTTTCAAAATAGCCCCCAAAATGCCCCTTAGGGCATTTCCGTCCATGGGTAGGGCGCAGGCTCTGGGTGGCCGCCAAGGGGCAGGCCGCCTATTTTTGCCACCTAGGCTTGGGCGAGGTGCCATGGCCCTCTGGACCGCTTAGGCGCTGGGTGGTTCGCCTTTTGGAAAACTGTTGATATATGTTTGAGTTTATCTTTGAATTTCATTTTTGTAACAGTGATCACTGCATTGATTTGTGGTTTTGTTTCACTTATTAGAATGTGGATTTTATTGATAAAGTTGGTCTTTAGTAAGAGTTTACTTATCAATTCGATTTTTTCCTATGTTGGCTTTTAACTGTTCTGGCAATTTGCGCTGTGGGTGACTAGAGCTTTCTTCTTGGAATCGAGAGGCATGATAAATACAAGGGGACCGGTTTTTGATGCAGTTTTTTCATTTCAGCATTTATCCCCATACGCAAAATCATACCTTTTATATATGCTATGCATGTGTATTTGACTATTTGTATCATTTATGCATCAATAGAAAGAAACTTGTAGTCAAAACCGAGAAATTGTTTTTGTTCATGAATAAAGTTGGAGTTGCTTTGGAAGCTTAAAACCATCTGGTGTGAGGTATCTCTGGTTGATGTTGGAGTTTGGTTTTCTCTTTCTGTTTTTGTTATTTAATTGGTAAGCTTGGGTTATTTTTCGAAGATAAATACGTGACTTGTGTTCCTTTATTAAAAAGTTGGCAATGATGAAAATTTGCCAGAGTTCTGATGTGTATAGAATGTATTACTCAATATCTCTTTGTTTGCCTTTTCTAGTAAAAAATTTGGGCCAATAGCTGTACACCTAGGATCGGTCGTGGTTGATAATAGCTCTGCCTTTCGAATGGATGAGGGGGTTCCACTAGTCATTCCCGAGGTGTTTCTATCCTTCCCTCTATTTCTATTTTACGGTCATGCAAATCTCTTGAAATATCAAAATGATAAGTATATCTCATTCATTGTTATGATAACGTTTTTTGGTACCCCTATTTATAGCTTATAGTGTGTACATATTTGAGTTATATTGGACATAGGATCATTTTTTTTTCCTCTTGGGATCTTGAGAATTGTACTTGTCTCATATTTGGCTAGGTCAACCCAGAAGCAATGGCTCACATAAAACTTGGTTCAGGAAAAGGAGCACTTATAGCAAATCCAAATTGCTCGACAATTATATGCTTAATGGCTGCAACCCCTCTTCATCGGCATGCCAAGGTCTATTTTAATTCTCTTAAAGTGTGGATCTCTAGTTTTGATGATAATTTGGATATCTAATTTGGAAATTGGAAATGTTTGTTGCGTGCTGTGTATAAATTGTCATAGGATTCATTTGAACTATGTTTCCTTCCCTTGTAGATTCCCCATGGTCTGTGTAAACCTCCAAGCATTGTTGGTTGATGGGTTATATATGATATTATGATTAATTTTATCATATGTCTTACTGTAAACAATCCTTTGTACCAAATGAATTTGATATTTATAGATCTTACTTAAAAGTTGCATTTTGGGTATTATTTGCAATGTTGCAATGTTGGACGAGTTGATTGCGAGCAGCATATATCGGAAATGTGTACAATATGGCTATTTACTTTTGATACAATGAGCTCTCAAACATTATTGACCATTAGATGTGAAATTAGGTGGTTGGGGATGTGGCATTGATTGGGCACAAAGTTTAAAATAAAATTTCTCGAATGTTGTGGCATTGGATTTTACATCCAATGACTGAGAGTGATTGTGACCTTCTTGTACCAAAAATAAATGGTCTTATAGTATACAATCCCTATTTATATTTTAGACAATGCACCAATTTGGTGAGATAATACACAAATCAAGTTGGTTGCTAGTAGGAGGAGAACTTTCATTGGTTGGGCCATATAAAAATTGATATTTCTTCTATTTTTATACCTTATCTCTAAATATATTTTCTCAATGTATTGGACATAATATTTTTTAAGGTGGATGGCTAGTTTTGAAAACTTTTTCACAATTATAATGTGGTACATAAGTTATTGCGGGCACTAAGTTTTGTGCTCATTGTGCTGGAGACTTGATGAGGGATATTTGACACACCTTCATGTAGTGTGTGTGGGCTAATGTATCCTATTGCACCCTGTGGTAGTGAGACTTTTAAGACGATTTGTCCCATGGAAGAAAACTTTTCTTTCACTTGGTCATAAGATCATTCTTATAAAGCCAGCATACTTTCTAACATTGTGATGTACTTGTTCAACTAGTTAATTGGGTGATAATGTGAGAACCTTAGAAGTAGTGGCTTGGGTTTCAAGTTCCAACTTCCAAGGAACTGAGGAAAGCAAATAATATGTTATCAGTCAAATGCTAGATAGGTGTACGGATGTGGACATGGATACAGAGAATAGGGATATGACTTGAAATTTCTCAATATCTTGGATATGGATATAGATGTAAGTATCCCATCTAACACATCTATAGATATATAGTTTACATTGTAAAGCCTGATATATATTCATGTTATATATATATATATATATATTAATTTTGTTATTTTACAATACAAGTATCCAGGAACTATCCAATGTCAATATTGGTGTCACCACAGTAAGATGCTGGCATGTTAAGAATATACAAGTATCTTTGTATCACAAGGAAATTCATTTCACCTGGTTTGAAAGAATTAGTGAGTTCAACTGGGTTTTTAGGGACTTATATAGAGGCTATCAAAGGGAATTCACAATGTGGCATGGGGATTGTGTGCACTTGATACTCAATAGGTGTTGGTTGTTGTATTTCATTTTCGAGGTGATATTGGGAGTTGATCTTGATTGAGGTTATGCTTGGAGCCTCTAGCTAATTTATCAAATAGGTGGGTCTTGATGAAGCTTCTGGCTGAAGTTTGTATTACACGATGTTCATAGTTTCTACTTTATAGTGAATTTGAAGAGAAAGCTCAATAGATATTCCTTTAGGAGAGTTTCGATGGATCCTTGGGGTGTCATGAGATATTAGTCTATGGGGAACTTCCTAGTATGAAGGAATATTTTGGGTACTAAGACACATTGCCTTGTCCCTTATCCTTTTTTGTGAGGTTGAGTGGTAACTTATGATGTAGAATATCATGGATATTTGTTAGGCTCAGGTCTTGAGCTGATTGTTTTCTTTTTATGTGTGACCTTAACAATCTTACTAGTGATGTTTCTTGCTCTAGTAGCTATTTCACTTCATTGTCCTTAAGTGATATCCTTCACCAATTAGAAATTTTTTTGACTTGCCATGTATTTTATAAGTTCATCTGGCCATGGGGATTTTGTGTAGTCACGTTGGATAGCATCTTGTTAAACTTTTACATGTTCCATACAGTTGCTACATTTGCTTCCATAAGCAAGCTATATAGGCACAATATCTATTACAATCCTATTTCTTAAAATCATCATCATCATCAAAGCCTTTCCCAACTAGTTGGGGTCGGCTATACGAATCCTCGTCTGCTATTCTGCTCTATCAAGGGCCATACCCTCAGTGAGGCCATAAGACCCCCATATCTTTTCTCAATATGTCCAATCATGTCTTTTTGGGCATACCTTTTGCCCATTTTAAGCCTTCCACTTGAACTAACTCACACATCTAGACAGGTGCTGTATTGGGTCTATGCTGCATATGGCCAACCCACCTAAGTCTACTTCCTTTCATCTTATCACCCATTAGAACCACACCGAAGTTCTCTTGAATATATTCATTTCAAATTCTATCCCTTGTCTAGCCACTCATCCATCTTAACATCCTCATTTCAGCTACACTCATCTTAAGGGTATGTATTCTACCCCATAAAGCAAAGCTGGTCTCACATCTCTCTTATAGAACTTACTATTCAACTTCATTGGTATGTAACGACTACATAAAACTCCAGTTGAACATCTCCACTTCACCCACCTAACTCTAATTCTATTGGAGACATCTTCTTCAATCTCTCCATTTTCCTGGATTATAGACCCAAGATATTTAAAGTTTGCTCTTTTTGGTATTTCTTGCCCGTAAATCTTAACTACTTCCTTGTCTCTACTTATTATTACTAAACTTGAATTTCATATACTCTCTCTTTGTCCGGCTAATTTTAAAACCTTTAGATTCTAGAGCATCTCTCAAAAGTTCTAACTTTGTGTTGACGCCCCTTTGGGTTTCATCGATCAAAACTATATCGTCTGAGAACAACATACACCACGGTACCTCATCTTATAGGTACATAGTAAAGTCGTCCATAACTAAGACAAAGAGGTATCAGCTCAATGCTGAGTGCTGACCCTGATGTAGACTATTGTCATTGAAAACCCACTCGTCTCTCCACTATTAATTCGCACACTGGTCCACTATTTGTTCGCACATTGGTTAGTGCTTTCTCGTAATATCTCTCACCAAGTCGATATAGTGTGTAAAGACTCCTTTCTTTTATGTCACCCACCCTCCAAATCAAATCTCAAGGTACTCTATCATAAGCTTTCTCTAAATCAATAAAGACCATGTGAATGTTTTTTCCCTTCGCCCTCAACTTCTCAATCAATTGCCTAAGTAGGAAAATAACTTCAGTTATTGATCTCCCTGACATAAAACCGTATTGGTTTTCTAATACACTCTTTCATGCCTTTGTCGTTGCTGAATGACTCTCTCCCATAGCTTCACAGTGTGGCTCATAAGTTTAATTCCTTGATAGTTGGAACAATTTTGCTCATTTATTCTTTTAAATAGGTACTACAATACTTTTCATCAATTTATCTCGCATTTTTCTTTGTTGCCAACACCTTGTTGAACAACATGGTGCGCTAGTCAATGCCAATCTCGCCCATGCACTTCCAAATATCTATCGGGATACCATTTGGTCTTAAAGCGTTTCCTTATCTTCATCCTCTTCAAAGTTTTTTTTTCACTTCCAATATCCTAAACCTATGAATGTATTTATGCCCTCTGCCCTCATTTATGCCCATGGTTCCTTCTATTGCTATGTTCCTATTGTATTCATCATCTAATAATTTTTTAAAATAAACTCTCCACCTTTCGTTGACCTCTTCATCCTTCATTAAGACTCTTTGATCCTCATTCTTAATGCCTTTAATATGGTCACTTTTCTCTCTCATTTTTACCAATTTGAAGACAGCTTTTCCACTCTCTTATTCCTAGTTTACTGTATAGATAGATTACATATGCCTTAAGTTTTTTTATTACTATTTGATTAGCTTTTTCCTTGGCATTTTTATATTTTTTTAGGTTTTGATCATTTCTACTACATTGCCAAGTTTTATAACGTGAGCGTTTTTCGCTAATGGTCTTCTGAATCTCATCACTCTACCACGAAGTTTCCTTATTGGAATTTCTTTTCCCACTAGCTTCTCTTAAAACTTCTTTTTGCCACTTTCTTTATATAGTCAGCCATCTCATTTCTTAATCCTATTTCTTAAGATCATTTTTATTAATTGTCTAAGATAGGGATTGGATGCTTTGAGATTGATTTGGTATGGGTCTGGTTATCTAAATTGTAGAGTTCTAGGATGGTTAGTTTTGTCGGAATTTAGAGGTATTAGAAGAATGTTTTTTTGAATGGCTAAGATAAGGAAGGTTATATGAGGTGCAAAGAAATTGGATAGGGTTTAGATGTTAGGGTAAGGGAGAAAATTAAGAACTTTGATGAGGTCGGTCACCCTCAAATTTGCTTTGTATTCCCCTTGAAGAGGCTAAATGTTTATAAAATTATTGTTTGTTCTCTGTATTTTCTTTTAGTTTTTGTGTGTGATCGCTGCAAGTTGTACCATAGCACTTTCGTGGAGCACAAGCAAATATTCTGTGCATGGATCAAAGGTGGGAGAAAATCGAAAAATCAAAGTTAGTTTGAAAAAGATGGAGACAAGGAAGAAGAGGGTGGTGAGGTCAAACTCTCAAAAGTGACAAAAGAAGAACAAGCTGGCAAAGAAACCCAAGTGGCCCAAGTGACATACGAAGCATGAGAAGGTGAAAATGCAATAATTGGATTCGGTTCCAAAACAATTGTGATAATGAAAAAGAAGAAGAAAACAATTACAGAGAACTAGCCAAAGATGCATCAATGGATGGTCAAAAAGCGAAATAAAAGTAAAGAAAAGAGAAGATTCAATCTTACATGCTGGGGACAAGGTGGGATTTTACGGCTTTAAAACTTTGGGAGCCTTTTCTATTTCTTAGAAATAGTTTTATTAGTTCTTCAAGATAGGGATTGGTGTGAACTGCCTTTCCTAGATTAGAAAAACTAGCTAGGATAGATCTGTAGGAAATTTGAGAAGGTAGTTTGTTTTGAATGAATTAAGATCATGAAATGTTATATGAGGCGCAAAGAAAGAAATACAGGATTTAGTGGTTAGGGCAGGGAGAGAATTGAGGAAGAAACTTCAAGGTGGTTGGTACCCCTTGAAGTGGCTTTGTATGGAGGATTGTCCCCTTGAAGAGGCTCAATCTAATAAATTTTTATTTATTTCAGTATCTTCATTTATTTTTGTGGGCGAGCATCACATATATCTTGCGTTTCCCTACTAAAATGGTGCCATTTGCTTTAGTTTGCATTTGTGGTTATTTATAGCGAAAGAACCAATAAAATGGTCAAACCACATCAAAAAATCAAGAGGTGGTTAACTCAACTAATTTACCAATAAAGTTATTACTTTTTAAAAAAATTCATTTCAAGTAGTTACTTTTTCAATTATTTTGTTACAAAATGCCCAAATTGCCATTTTTTTGGGTTTCAAACCCTGAACATTTGAGGGTATTTTGGTAATTTTCCGCTTATGTTACCTAAGAGCTTGATCCTGGTTCCAAATAAAGAACATGATTCTTCGTTAAAAATATTGTTCCAAGTTTGGAACCCAAAACAAGCAGCATTATTTATGTCTTTTGGCATGGGTAACTTAAGTGAGGCCAAATTACCAAATACTCTACTTAGTCTGGGTTCTAAATTGGGAACAACAATTTCAAATGCAAAAAAAATGATTTGGGATGGAACCTAAAACAAGTAGGGGCATTTAGGTATTTTGCATCCAATGACTTAAGTGGCTCAAATTATGTAAATGCCCCGTGCTTGTTTAGATTCACAGACCCAGAACAAGGGCAATTTGGCCATTTCCAACAATATATTTGAAGAGGTAACTAAATGAGAGGACTTTTAAAAATTAATCTTTGTTGGTAAAATTGTTGTCTAAGCACCTCGTTTTTTTCTGTAGTGTAACCATTTAAAACTATAATGTTCCTAGTTACAATGGATTGTAAAGATATTAATATTATATTCATGATGGCATCTGTCTTCGCGTTGATGATTATCTTTTGATACCCCCAGTTATGTTTGACGTGTGAGCATTAGTGAACTTTGTGAATTATTATTTGCAATTTGCACTATGTCATGACAGGTATTGCGTATGGTCGTTAGCACGTATCAGGCTGCCAGTGGTGCTGGTGCTGCTGCAATGGAGGAGCTTGAACAGCAGACTCGGGAGGTTTTCTTCTATTTTATTGATTTTGATCTTCATAGTTTTGCTGTGATTAGCATCTTCATATTTTTGCTGTGACATTCATAACTTGTCTCAATGAAAGAATCTTTGAGCCCGATGTTTCTGTTTTTGCATTGCCAGGTCTTGGAGGGTAAGAAACCAACGTGTAAAATTTTCAACCAACAGGTTTGTGTTTCAACAAATAGGTTTGTTTTTCAACTTTATGGATATTGTGTTTCCAATAGTTCAATTTGATAAACGGAAATTATAAGAGAATAGAATGATTAAATAATGGAGTACTATTTTCAATGCAAACTCATTCCTCATGGAGGTGCATTGTTTGCTATAATGATGACATTTTGAATGAATTTTCTTTCTGAACTTCAGGTTTATTTCTTCATGAACTGTTTCTTACTTTTTGCAGTATGCATTCAACCTGTTTTCACACAATGCGCCGATAGTTTCCAATGGCTATAATGAGGAGGAAATGAAATTGGTAAAAGAGACTAGAAAAATCTGGGTAAAGTTGCAGTTTTTGGAAATCAAGTAATCATTATTTTTGGTTTATAATTTTTTCACTTTAAGATTGGATGCTTGAATGATCTCATGGTTTTGCTTTTGAAACTTTTCTGTAGAATGACCCAAATGTAAGGGTCACCGCCACTTGCATTCGAGTTCCTGTAATGCGTGCACATGCTGAGAGTGTCAATCTCCAATTTGAGAAGCCACTGGATGAGGTAATTGTTCATCCAAACTTATGAGTAGTAGTGTTATATACAATAAGAGGAGTTCAAACAACATTTGATTATGCGTTGCCTCATTTCTTACCGTTCTAAAAACAAATTTTTTGGGTGATGCTTGTAATGTTATCTGGTTATGAGTGAAATTTTTGCTCCCATTGTGCTGGTTGGGATGAAAATTGCAAAAATGTTTGTTGTAATTTTTCTCTCAAGTTCATTGTGTTATCATAATTTTGACAGTTCAGTGACTTTGGCTTGTCCCAAGTCCCTTTAATCTTCATCAAGTCCCTTTAACTGGTGGCTATTTTTCCTCACATTTTGCTTTGTGTAAACTCTAGTCTTCACTCTTTTGTGAAATATTTGAAAGTTACACATGTTTTGCATTCTGAGGACATTTGGACTTGCTTTATTGGATGGTCATTGGTTTTTCGATTATGCATTCTTGAACTGCAGTCTTTTCTTTCTCTATATTTCGGATTTTAGGGAAAAGACTGGTAAATCTGAAATCAGACTATATGTGAGGAACCACAATCCTTGACAATCTATGCACTAGATGTTTTCTTTTATATAAATGAGTAATCTGCATGTGTGTCGCATGTGATATTTATTACTAATCACCGATATATTTTTATCATTGAAAAACATTTTCAATAAAATTTGGCCTTAGAGGGAGAGAATTCAATGAATTTACCTCCACAATCGAGTATTTTATTGAATAATTATAAATTTGATATTAAATATTATTTTAATATCAATTAATTTGATATTAAATATTATTTTAATAATAATATTTATTAATATGGATCCATTTGACATACAATTAAAACAAAAATGATGATTTAAAAAATAATTTAAATTATATAAATAAAAGTAGTAGATAAATTTATGTAGGGTCTTCCTAATACTAATATCCTTATTAGTTTAAGACATAAGGCCTTAAATTTTATTTTTTTGGGTGGTTTAAGACATAAGGCCTTAATGATATTGATATCTAATATATTAGTTCATTAAGGCACACTTCACATGCACTAATTTCAAAATAAAGAAGTGACCAGCACTTAAATATATTAATCAACACCTAATTTCAAAAAGAAAATTCGATAATCTCTATATTTATGGTATTAATGACTTTTAACTTTTTTGGTGCTAAATGTAATTCTTATTAAATATTAAATAGAGTACTTTATTTATTCATAAATTCTATTTATGGCATTTATGGGATTATATCGCTTATTAGTAATTCTTATTAAATATTATCACTTATTAATAACTTCTATTTATGTTTTAAATATAATTCCTATTAAATGTTATTAAATATTATTAAATTTGTATCAAGCCTCAGGAAAAGGTAAATTCAATTTTATTTTATTTTTAAAAAGAGAGAAATTTGTTTGGTGCATGAAAAAAGATGAACTGAAAATGAGAGAGAAAAGACCGAAATATGGTTTGTGCAATTGTTTTACTTTTTTAATTTCGGTTTGGATTTTAGAAAATACAAAAAAATAGAATATATAAAAAAAGTAAAAAGAGCAATCTTTTGCATTATATTGTTTTTAGAAATTCTTTTATGCAAAAAAAAAAAATTTACTATGTCATAATTTCAATTGTATTATTCATAGAAAAACATGGAAGAAAGAAATTATTTGCGTTTTCTTGTTTTTCAGATAATATTATGCAATTATATGAATTTTTGGAAAATACATCTTTTTTCGCGTGAAAGGATTTATTTACTCAGATATTATGGTTTCAATGATATTTTTGCAATTATTTATATATTCTTTCTTTTGTTTTTTAATAAAATCAGCAAAAGGATGATTTCAAAATTAGAGAATGTATTTTCTATTTTTAGAAAATAAAAACGTAGAAAATTTTATATTTTTATGTTAGAAATAAAAGCAAGTTACTAAAAGTAACCAACTAAAATGGAAATGACAAAGCAATTAAATGGAAATATTTAACCAACTAAAAGAAAAGAAAAGAAAAAAAAAGTTAAACTAACTAAGGAACAACAATAAGAATATAGAAAAATAATTGATCAATTATTCCTGTGATAGAGACCTCATCTTGTTCTTCGTTTTCCTCTCCGATATTCTCTTGTAATGATACTTCCGTCCCAAATTCTCCTTGTAATGGTATGGGCAAAGATGTTGGAGAGGGTTAGACAACCAATAGATCCACAAAGAGGAAAACCCTATGCTCTATGATGTCCAGATAAGGAAATATTAAGGTTTGTTGGGAGAGGTAGAGTGAAATACAAAGGTTTAGTGGGTGTGTGTGTGTGTGTGTATGTGTGTGTGTGTGTGTGTGTGTGAGAGAGAGAGAGAGAGAGAGAGAGAGAGAGAGAGAGAGAGTGGAGAGAGTAGTAGTAGACGAAGGAGAGTGTGTGTGTAGTGTGTAGTGTGTGTGTGTGTGTGTGTGGAGTGTAGAGAGAGAGAGAGAGAGAGAGAGAGAGAGAGAGAGAGTAGGAGAGAGAGAGAGAGAGAGGTTCACCCTGTAGATATATTTCAATTAGATTTAGATGACGGAAAACCTTCATATAAGGTTGACACCTTAAAATGTATGATTAAGGTGTACCTCTAAAATCCTCCGAAAAATATTGTTTTGATTTTGAAAAATATCTAATTGATCATCTCAACATCTAGATGTATAGATATGGAGCAAAAAAGATATTTCAAAATTCAAATCTTAAAAATAGTACATCTTGCAATGCATTATTTGGACTGTCCATTTTCAAGGTTTTTATGTGTTTATAGATCTGCTTGATTTGAACCATTTTTGGAGTTTAAAATTTTTTAGTTAGAGATAAAAATAGATTCTCACACCATCTTAAAGTTTTCGACACCAAAATTGCATGTCACGACAAAGTTTGGAGTTGCACCTTACTTTGATTGTTTAGGGTTGTTTATTACATTAGATGAAATAGTGAGTGACTATAATTATAACAATATCAATCACATATTATAAGATACAAAATGTTGTCATATAATGTAAAGCATGACATTCATTAAAATGTTATACACATAATGAGATATTGATTCGAATATTATTATAAGAATAATATAGTGAGCAATAAAATTTGACTGCCTCTTTTTATGCTATGCTATATTATTGAATATTAAACATTTGTTTTACAAAATGAGTAAATTTTTTATGTGTTGTTTTAAAGTAACATATAAATATTTTAGATGGCAATATTATTGTGATTATGATTAAATAAAAGTGTAATATTTATTTATGTAAAAGAAATGGACTGAAAAGGGCAAAGGGTAGGCCCAAAAGGACGTGGTTGGAAGTAGTCCGAAAAGATATGGGGACTTATGGCCTTATTGAGGGTATGACCTTTAATAGAGTAGAATGACGGACTAGGATTCGTGTAGCTGACCCCAATTAATTGGGGAATGGCTATAATGATGATGGTGAAATCTATAAAAGAAATTTGTTAATTCTACATGTTTGGTATTATAATCTTTAAAATTTTATTGTATGGAATATGTAATAATTAAAATTATTATTTAGATATAATTACGTATTATATGACTTCATATATTCATAATGTTTATCAATGACACCAAGTATTTGTGTTCTTATTACAAGGGCAAGCTTTCTATGCTTCCCCTACAGCATAGAAGTTCTTTCCTCCCCCTTATCCAACCGTCCAATCTAAATGGAGGGCTAAGATGGCCCAATCACAATGTCACATCTCTGCGCTATTTTATTTTTAATTTTTTTTTTATAAACTATTTTGACACCTAATTTTGGACATTTATTCCTCTATTAAACTCGCACTAGCAAAAAATATAAAAAAAAATTTCAATAAATAAAATGGCGAAAATACCCTTGAAAGTTTCAAGGGGTATTTTGGTCATTATATTTTATCAAAAAATTATTTTTAATATTTTTTATAGGTGCGCCCCAATGATAAGATGGTGCTTACCAAATTTCATATTCATACAATTTGTATAAAAAAAGCTAAAAATAAAATGCTTTGAGACGTCGGGTCTAAGATCAAACGGTGAATGGCTCTCTCGATCAAAATTGGATGGCTGGATGGTAGGGGGAGGATAGAACTTCTATATTGCTGGGGAAGCATAGAAACCTTTCCCTTATTACAATATTCCACCAAGTATTTGTGTTGTCATTACAATATTCTTTACAATATAGGAATGCGCTCAAGGTACTCTCATTCTTATAGCAATACAAACGTCAACATTTCTCAAAAAAAAATATTATAGGAATGGGGTTAAGGCATAGGTGGTCAGGATAGAGGGTAACATGATGACTTGAGTTCCATTCTTACTATAGGTAGGGGACCATTTCCCCACTGAACTACCCAAAAAAATATTCATTGTAATATTACAATTATATTCTTAATAATTTATGTCTATTATAATTGTTGAATTGTAGCGATTTAGAATCAAAATAGTTATTTATAAGAGTATTAGTCAATAGAACAATAAAAATAAAATAAAATAGTATTAGTCAATAGATGAATAGAACTATAAACTTAAATAGGCATTGTTAACCTCCTCAAAAAAAAAAAAAAGAAAAAAAAAAAAAACTAATATACTTAATAGGAAGTTATAATAATTGCAAAATTACATCATTTTATGCATAAACTAATATAATGGCCATCATTAAATCTGTTGCACATTAAACAATAATTGATTAAACTTTTAATAATTAACTAATAATACTATATAATTATGATCATTTTAATTATAGAATTATACTAAATAAAAAGTTATAATTTGGATGGGCATTTTTTAATTACATAATCATAATATTAACTACATCATTTAATATTGTCTAATTATTAAATTCATATAATATAAGAAAATAACTTTCAATAAAAATGTAAGTATTGAGAATTTAATTACTACATGTATTGTATAAATTAAAAATTTAATATACATGCATGTGAGAAGAAAAGATTATTAGAGGGTGGGGAAGCAGAAGAGACTTGTAGTGGAGATGATACGTTGGGAGGAGAGAGAATGTGGAGAAGAGCTTTAGTTGATATATATGTCTATACACATACGCACACATTGGGGGCCATATTAAAAGTACGTGGAGAATGGAGATAACATTAGTTGTAATTAAGAGTGAGAGAGAGATTAATAGTAATTAATAGAAGAGAGTTGGAAACAATTTTCAACAAATGGAATGTCAAAATACAAAAAAATTAAGAAACGTAGGGCAGTTTTAGAAAAGAAAATGACACATGTCAACAAAATAAAGGGGACCTCCTCTCGATTAATTGTATAATAATAGATATTTGACAAGGCCATCATACTCTAGCCGAATATAGACTTTTCAGGAAAAGCTTTAAGGCTTCTTTGTTTAAGATCAGATAGAGCTTTCCTGAAGATGACTAACTGTTTAACTGGTTTGCAGATCATGCAATGTAGATGAACATCTACTGGTATGGTTCTCAATTATCTCAAGAGTACACACGAAAGGAAACATTATTCACTAGGTATACACTTAACGATATACAGTTGGTCATAATATCTCTACCCTCCCAAGAACTGGAGCCATGCTAAGAGCTCAAAATTTCACTAATTTGACTATTTGAAAAAGGTATCTTGTTGCAGTAACCTTTTGTTCAGAGTTCTGGTTTTGTTTTTTGAAATTTTCTCTATTCTGAGTACATTTTATTTTCAATCCAGGTTTGTAGTTTTGTGTGAATCTTTCAATTTAGGGTGTCCGACCAAAAACCATTTCAGCACGATTGTTTGTTTCCTGTTTGTTCTCTCATTTTGTCTTTATTTACCTAATCCATGAAACGTACATCTGCTGAGGGGAAGTTGAGAATGACTGAAAGAACATGCTGAAGAATTGCAAGGATGTATTTCTCACTTTGACTTCACATTATGTTTCCTGTTCAGGATTGGAAGTGTAGTCTCCATTTTCATGACTGTGTGGGATTGTGAGTTGTATTGGATCTGACGTGTGAAAATCTTGTTTTCGGTAATTCATTATATAGGACACAGCTAGGGAAATTCTCAAAAATGCTGCTGGTGTTGTAGTTATTGACGATCGATCTTCCAATCGCTTCCCTACACCACTAGAGGTATCTCTCTCTGGGTGTGTGTGGTTTTTTATTTTTATTTTTGGAGGGGGGGACTGTGTTCTGCTTGCTCAATCAACATGGCTTATATTGATGCCATGGCTGTGTGTGCATGTGCACGCATGAGCCCATGTGTGTTTTTTTTTGTCTTTTGGGTGTTCTGACTTTGTTTGCTCGATGTGGCTTATATTGATGTCCTGCCAGGTATCGAGCAAAGATGATGTTGCAGTGGGACGTATACGCTCTGATCTATCCCAAACTGGAAATCATGGGTAAAACAAACAATAGTCTAGTATGATTTTATTTAAAGAATAACTCTTTATCAATCTCCTTAACTAAAATATCATTTACATTCTTATGTTGTGGAACAGGTTGGACATTTTTATTTGCGGGGATCAAATACGAAAGGGAGCCGCCCTTAATGCGATACAGATTGCAGAGAAATTGTTGTAATCCCTTTTGAATTTTTTCTGAAAATGCGCCACTGAATGGTGCCCTTTTATCTCCAGTTAGAGAGGGAGTATTTATTGAAAAAAGTTGAGAGAGATAGAGCAGCTGTGAGGCCTCATGAACGAGTTTTGGCGTGTCTTGCTTTCCACATTAATTGTAAAATTACTGATTCTTAATTATATGTCCTAAGACTTTTAACTTCTCAATTATATTTATATGTACTAAAACATTTAACTTCTCAATTATATCTAATAAGACTTTTAACTCATTGTAGCAGTGTTCTGCTTTATTAATGTGTGCTTGCTGCTTGTACAGCAACTATTTACTCCCCCATGCACTCCATTTTCTTGTGTTTTCCATGCTGGGTGTAATGTAAAAAGTGTGTATACTAGGAGCAAGCTGTTTATGTGCTCCCTTCGGTGAAAAATATGCTTAGGAAAAAAAAAATGGATCTGAAAATTAGGGATCCATTACAATATTGTTATTTTTTTTTTAAAAGAGAGGAATTGGATTTGAGCTCTTCAACATTCTGCTCTCCAGAAATGGGATGGTGTTCATTCAATTTTGGGACATTATCTTTTTGGGGACTATTGATTTTGTGTTTGCAATATTATTGATATTATTATGGAATTGGTCTTTAAGCAGCAATGGATACATCCCCAAAACTTGGGGTCCTAAAAAAACCCCTAGATTGGTTTTTTTCCGAATGGTTTGCTCCCTGGGGAGTACAAAATTATTTAGCATATGTAGAATTGATAGGATCTTTATTACTTTAGGCAAAGGGGTATTTCACGCGATTTCCTGCATTTGGTAGCAAACAAAAAGGAAGCCCTAGCATTTGTTTGTTGTAGGTTGGACATTTCAGCTATAAATAACTTTTATCGGTAATTCCCTAACTCGTATGTTCTAATTTTTTCATCATAATTTTAATCATTATAAATTTTTTCAACTATTTGAGGTCGGCTATATGAATCTTAGTTTGTCATTATGTTTTGATTTTATAAAGTCAAAAAAAGTTTCTAAGAGTTAGTTATGTTCTGATTTTATAAAATAAGAAAAGGCAGTTTAGAGTTGGCCTCACTTAAATGAGTCCTCTCTTCAAAATCTATTTTAGAAATTTATTTTGGATTCAGAAAGTGAAGGAACAAAAATCTCAACTATGATGAGTTAGAATCTGGAAATAATATTAATAATTAAATTTTAGAATAGAGACATAAATTTTAGAATAAAAACATAATGGGTGTGGTTTCTATAAGGTTGCAACCTTAAACAATCTAATTAAGGCTCACCTACAAATTTTATCGTAAAATGTAATTTCATGTAATTGTTTTTTAGGATTGTTTGAAACTCTATTTTTTTGTACTTAATTAGAAAATTTTAAAGTCCAAAAATGGTTATTATCTAAAAATCTATTTTTTATATCTAATTATAAAATTTTAAACTCCAAAAATGGTTAAAATCAAGTAGGTCTATCAACATAAAAATCTTGAAAATGAACGGTCTAGATAATGTATTGCAATATGCAATATTTTTGGGACTCAAAATCTTTTTTTTTTTTTTTTTCATATTCATATTCTCAATGTCGAAATGATCTATTAGAGGGTGTTTCAACATTAAAACAACATTTTCCGATAGAATTTGAGGTGCATCTTCTACATTTTGAGGATGGAACCTCATATCACCTTTTTGCGAACATAATTATTTTGATAATGATTTTAATATGGTTGATTTTAATTTTTTTTAGGATAACCATTTGTAATATTTCCAAAATTGATTATCATGTCCTCCAGTCCCTATAATCTCTCTCTTTTTGCATGGTAACTACTTCCAGTTCTGAGTTCTCTAACATAAGTCTTTAGCTTCTTTCACTTTTAAGGTCAGCTACCCTATATTTTTTCTAGATTAATTTTTGTTTTAATTATACATTTCTACCTCTCAATTATAGCTCAATGTATGTTGAATAGAGAGATAAATACCATTGATCTGCCCTTAAAAATATCCTAAAAGGGTCGATTTGGGAAGGGGCTGGGGTCGTGGAGGTAGCATCCCCACATCTAGTCACTTTGTGGTTACAATTCCCACGGATGTGAAATCAGTTGGGTCGTGATGCATCACCAATTGAGCACAAAGTCCCAAACAAATTTTCTTGTAGCTGTGATACATTTTAATATGCTCGATTTCATATTCAAAGACCAAGAAAAGTTGTGACCTTCTTATACAAAAAATAATAGTCTCATAATATACAAACTCAAAAATAAAAGAAAGTCAATTCTATGACTATATTTTATAAGTATCGAATATTGTGTATTGGCTTAAAATTTGAGAGAGAGAGAGAGGTTTTTAATAGAAAAAAAATTTAAGACTACCTTTTTGATTAAATTAAATTTGTCGTCAATGAGTACCAGATTTGTTTTATCATACCAATACCTTCATTTGTATCTTGTCATTATGCTTCTAAACCATTGATTAATGGGAAAAGTTTATGTAAGGTTGCAATTTTAAAATGTAGAATTAGGGTTGTATCTCAAAAATCCATCGGAAAATATTATTTTAATGTTAAAAAATTCTCTAATTAACCATCTTGACACTGAGATGTACAAATATGTAAAAGAAAAATATTGGACTCCCAAAAATAATGCACTTGAAACAATTTATCTAAACCATCAATTTTCAAGATTTTCATGTGTATAGATTTAAACTACTTTTGGAATTTAAAATTTTATAATTAAAGTTGAAAAAAGATTTTCAGACAATCTTAAGAATTTTTTACCCCAAAATTACATTTTATGATAAAATTTGGACACCTTAATTGGATTGTTTAAGGTTGCTATCTTATGCAAACCACAACCTTGATTAATAGATAGACAGATAATTGTGATCTGCCTTAAATTTGCTCCCATAAAAATATGCATCAAGCAGTCTTTGGATATACGTTTCTTAGCTGGAAACTTGAGAATATAAATAGGAAATAATATGTGGAGGGAAAACCTTGAAACCTTACAGTCCTTGATAGTAAAATATTAGCCTCATCATCTCCTCTGCCCATAATGTCTCCATTATCTCCTCAAAATATCAGGACCCAAATTATTTAATGTTCAAATTTTAGAAACTGAAGCTTGTGAAATTCAAATGTGAAGAGTTTAGTGAGGTAGTTTCTATTCCATTTTAGACACTTAAAAAAGTCAATTGAGTTTAGATCTCTCTCTAGTCTAATTAGGGTGAGGACCTTAAGCTTTCTCTTAATCCTTCAAAGTGGTTGGATTATGTTAGGTAGGCAACGAAAGTACAACTTTGCCAAAACTTATCATAATCTCTCTCCCTACTGTCAAAGTAGTTGGATTATTTTAGGTAGGCAACCAATGTAAAATTTTACCAAAACTTATCATAATCTCTCTCCCTACTTAGTTCTGTTATGCTTATCTAGTGGTTGCCAATAAAAAGTCATTTAAGTAGGGGTGCGGTTTGTATAGAGCCTAGGCTCTAAACAATCAAATTAGAGCCTACTTTCAAATAGTATTGAGAAATGTGGTTTCAATATTAGATATCTTTGTGATAGCCTTAAAGTACATTTCCATATTTATTTATAAAGTTTAAAGATTCAAAAATAGTGTAGATCGACGTATCTATGAAAACTTCAAAATCTTGAAAATTGACGGTCCAAAAATGCATCACAAAATACATTATTTCCAAAACTTGAGATCCATTTTGTTCTCATGTCCATGCATCTTGATGTCGAGATGATCAGTTTGAAGATATTTCGGCATTGAAACAACCTCTTCTAGTGCAATTTTTGAGGTAGGCTCAAATTTGATTGTTTAGAGCCTCGGCTCTATATAAACTTTTCCCTTTAAGTATCATTTCAACTATCTTATTAGAAAAGAGAAAAGTTTATATAGAGCTGAGGCTCTAAACAATCAAATTAGAGCCTACCTCAAAATTTTCCCTAGAAGAGGTTGTTTTGATGTCCAAATATCTTCAAATTGATCATCTTGACGTCAAGATCCATAGACAATTAAAAAAATGGATTTCAAGTTTTGGAAGTAGTGTATTTTGAAACGCATTTTTGGACCATCAATTTTCAAGAATTTCAAGTTTTCATAGATCTCTTGATCCACACTATTTTTGAAGCTTTAAACTTTATAAATAAAGATGAAAATATATTTTAAGGCTTCACAAAGATTTTCAGTATTGAAACCACATTTCTCGATGCTATTTGAAGGTAGGCTCTAATTTGATTGTTTAGAGCCTAGGCTCTATATACAATTGCACCCATTAGAAAACACCTGTGAATTAGAACCTTGAACAAATGATGGCATTTTGATAAATAATAGAGCCACATAAGTTATCATTTGAATAAGAATAAGGCTGTAGCTTGTTTAGGTTACAAACTCAAAGTAGAGGCGATTTGAATTTTATTTAACAAATTATTGAGGAGGTATCCAAAAACTAAAAAATAATCAAACCGCCGCTAAAAAGACCTTGGTAAAAAAATAAAAATCAATGAAGTGATCATTTAATATTATTTTCAAAAAAAATCTTCGAATTATTTAATTATTTTAATTGTAGCAAATATAAGCAATGGTTTCATCAGGTTTTGCATACTAGCTCAAAGAATATGCTAGTAACTCTTTAACACCCACTGTAACAATTGGGGTTTAAGAATATTGTCAATCCATACATTCCTTTTCATCTAAGTAAGACATTTGAAGCTTGATGAAAAAGTCCGAAAAGGATGAACACCTCTGTCTTTTCCAAATGTTCATTTTTAAATTCAGGAACCCTCACAGTAAGCCTGAAATGATTATTCTCATTTAAAGTGAAGTCTATTTTATGTGCTAAGACAACATTAAAATATTCAATCTTGACTGCCCTGTTTCAACTTCGAGAAAGGGCATTTAAATAGGATTGAATACTTGGAAAAGTGTCGACCTTTTTTTCCTTATGTATTTAAAGGGTACGTTTTGCATGGAGCCTAGGCTGTAAACAATCAAATTAAAGCCTACCTTCAAGTAGTGTCGAGAAATGTGGTTTCAATATTGAAAATCTTTGTGATAGTTTTAAAATATATATATATTTTTATTTATAAAGTTTAAAGCTTCAAAAATAGTATAGATCGATAGATCTATGAAAACTTGAAAATCTTGAAAATCGACGATCAGAAATACGCTACAAAATACACTATTTCCAAAACTTAAAATCAATTTTTTTTATCATGTTCATGCATCTTGATGTCAAGATAATCAATTTGAGGATATTGGACATCAAAACAATCGCTTCTAGTGAAAATTTTGAGGTAGGCTCGAATTTGATTGTTTAGAGCCTCGGTTCTATATAAACTTTTCTTGTATTTAAATAGGGCCGAATAATTTAAGATTATTTATTTTTGTGCAAGAAAGGTTATTTATTTTTGTGCAAAGAAGTCATATCGACCCAGGCGTTACATGTCAGACTCAATAGATAAAGTATGATTTTATTATTATTATTATTATTATTATTATTATTATTATTATTAATAATAATAATAATAATATTATTATTATTATTATTATTATTATTATTATTATTATTATTATTATTATTATTATTGTTGTTGTTTTGACTTTGAGCATGGTCAATGGTATACCTACATCGACCGAATTTCACATCCAACAACTATAAGTGATTGTGATCTCCTTGTGTCAAAATACATAATCTCCCCGTATAATTTGAATAACTACTTTACATTAAGCATGTCGAACTTCTGCACGAGATTTCTATAAGTTATGTTTGCACTTACACCCAATTAATTTGCTCCTTGCATATTATTATTGTATAGGGGAATGATTTCATGTCCCCATTGTAACGTAACCCAAACCACAGTTCTAAAAAAACCATTTTTTGTAATATTTGCATGAACCCAAAAATTAATTGCAGATACGTTCTCGTCATTTTAATAATCAATATTTAAAAAAGTAAAATTCAATTAGCACTCTAGATATGCTCAAAACAAGTCATCCTCCAATAATGAATCTAGACAATCTATTTGGTGATTTTCAAAATCTAGGTCTCTACGAACTCAAATTTAAATTTTTTTTTAATATTATTTATCTAATAATAATAAAGTCGTCAAAAAAATTTGAAAAGGAAAAAAAAATCTTTTTAACTCCTACATCTAAGTGTCTCAGGAAAATGAACAGCCTACATTAATTGAGCTAAAAAATATTTTCTAATGTATGTTTTCAAATTTTGATTTTTTTTTATTGTTTATAAGTGTGTTGGATATCCTACGCAGCTGGCTATGATGCAAGTGCTTAAGTTTGATTATTTTAAGGTGATAGTCATTATCCCCCCTATTCCCTTTTACTTTAAGAGATAGTCATTACTTTAAGGTGATAGTCATCGATGTACTTTACTTCAGTGTTTCAAAGCCCAAATAAATATCAATTTAGATTGATATAAATCGGTGATTCAGAAAAATATTAAAAACTATAAAATAAAATAAAAAGGGGTTTATGTGGTTTTTTTTCTATAAGTTTAAAAAATAAAAAAAAGTATCAAACGGGGGTTTTAGAGGGTGACTTAACCAATATCGATGCCAAAACGGTTCAATAGGTCTAAATAAGTGATTCTAAATCCAGATCACTAGATTTTGAGACGCTAATGTTTTGGGAACTGTTATTGTCTAATTTACTGTTTAGTGTGCATATCCATGTAATCATCAGTAACCATTACCATAAAAAACGTCAGCATTCATTGGCCATTCTATTGTCACAAGGTCTATTATCCTTAACGCCTATTTCTTATTCTTATAAGGGAATGTCTATTTTGCAAATGGATGTCACAATCATTTTTGTCCTTGAAATTTTACAATTGGTGGTTGTAAAAGTATTATTGAATAGATATAAAGTTCCAAAAAAAAAAATTTCTCAGACTTCATGACCACTCCAAGCCATATAATTTGACATCTAATGAGTGGAAATGGTTGTACCCTCCTAAAAATAAAGATAAATAATCTCAAATCCTTTCTTCTAATATCACATTTTTTTAAACACATATAGACATACTTGAAAAGTCAAACAAAGGATAATCTTAGAATGTGTAGTTTAATAATGGTGTAGCTACATTTCTTGTAACATGAACCCTGCTGTTACAATAAAAGAATAAGAATATTGAATATTAGACTTCCCAGCAATGTAGAGACTTTAAGAACTCTTGTAAAATAGAAGAAGATTATTCGTTCACAGTTTTGACACTCATTTTCTATGTTAAAGCATATAAGTGTAGGGCCGGCCGGTCTTAACTTCGAGAAAAATCATGAGACAATCCTTATCACTTGCCATTGTAATATATATATATATATATATATATATATAGAGAAAAGGTTTAACTCAAGAAGGTTCCCAAATACAGAGAAAGGGAAAATGTTTATGTCTAGAAGGTTTCTTTTGAGATAACATGCATCGATCGCATTATGTAACGTTAAACGTTTGTTTTCTACCGTTCAAGTAAACTATCCATTTGTTCACTCATAGAAAAATCCAAGACATGAGTAATTTTAGGATCTCAAATTTTGGGGATGTGACCTCTTTTGGTTGGTAACTAGCGTGGTAGCCACCCTAGCTCTAGCTCTGCCCTAATCTCAATAGGGGAAGCTCGAGACCGGCTCGACCCTGATCAGACCAAAGAGGCCCTTGGCTTGGGCTTAGCCCTTACCATATCAGGATTGGGCCATGGCCAAATTGAATCAAATAAAAAAAACGAAAAAAAAAAGAAATGGACCTGACAAGTAGACCCAACCTCGGGTTTGAGCATGGGTCAAATTTTGGAACGATGGGTCGGATTTGGGTCCAAAATTTGGAACCAAATACTATTAGGATCTAACTTCAATCGAACCCAACCCATACCCATACCCATCCCGTATGCACAAACCGTTGGATATAAAATACTTTACTTTAAGCCATACTTGTTTGGGTGCATTTAGGATAATATATGAGAAGAACTCGTAATCATTTTTAGCTATTAAACAACAAATTAAACGACTTTAAATCTAATGGTGGTTGATTATAATCCTGTTGTCAATAATATAGGTATATAATGATAAAAACAAACAAAAAAAAGAGAAAAAAAAGGTGCTCGTAGTCATAGGGTAGCAATGGACCTGACCAAACCGAAACCCGACGGGTATGGTATGGGTCTAATTTTTTGATCCGAGTCCAAAACCTAGAGCGGAATACTATTCAAGCTTAGGTTCAGGTCCAGCCGGACCCAACCCGTACCCGACTTGTTGGCACCCCTGCTGGCCTCTAAACGAATGAAAGAGGTTTCTCTCTCTCTCTCCTAAGTCACCATAAGGAAGAGGGCCAACAAAGTGAAGGTGGGGAGTTGACAGAATGGTAAATGTGAACCCCCCACGAAATGTTTCAGTCATCTAACCCCCCCGACAGCTCCTCCCTGAGATCCCGCAACCCCACCGTCCACAAGATCCTATCATGCTACCCCCCGCCACCCCTCTTTCTCTCTCTACAGGCTCTAGCTCTCTCTCTCTCTCTCTCTCTCTCATGGAATTATAAAGCCAAGCCCCCACTCCCTCCCTTTCTCTATTCTCCGCCATGGACCTCCTCCTCCAAGCTCTATCTCTCCTCGCCTTCCTCCTCTCTCTCTCCCTCCTCCACCTACTCCGCCATCAAAAGAAGCCACCACCACCACCACCACCACCACCGACTCCCCCCTGGCTCCCTTGGCCTCCCCCTCATTGGCCACACTCCATCCTTCCTCCGCGCCCAGCGCCGCAACCGCCTCTTCCAAGACTTCCTACAACCCCTCTTCACAAAGCACGGTCCCATCTTCAAGACCCGCCTCATGGGCCATCCCACTGTCATTGTCTCCGGCCCCAATGCCAACCGCTTCTTCTTATCGAGCGAGTTCCGCCATGTGGTCAGCTCGTGGCCGGACTCAGCCGTCTCTCTCATCGGCCGCCGCTCCATCATGGAGGCCCACGGTGCACGCCACAAACGCCTCCGTGTAGCAGTCCTTGCGTCCATGTGCCCACCAGAGGCACTAGCATTGCGAGTCTCGGCTGCCGTGCACGCGCACCTCGACACGCACTGGCGAGGCAGGGACTCTGTCAAGCTCTTTGATTCTATGAAGAGGCTCACCTTCTCTGTGTTTTGTGAGTGCTTTTTAGGGGTAAAGGAAGACTTTGGACTTTTCGAGCTTTTCGAATGTGTTTTGGGTGGTGTTTTTGCGGTGCCATTTGGGTGGAGGCATTGGAGGGCGAAGAGGGCGAGGGCGGAGATTGAGAGGAGGTTGGTGGCGTTAGTGAGAGAGAGGGCGGCGTGTTCGGATGGCGGAGGGGATAAAGAGAAGGATTTGATGGGGAGGTTGATGGAGGTGGCGGAGGAAGGGGGAGAGAGAGAGGTGGTGGATAACTTGGTGCTGCTGGTGTTTGCGGCGCACGACACGACCTCGATAGCTATATCAATGGTGTGCAGATTGTTGTTTCACCACCCTGACTGCCTTCGCCGCCTCCTCCAAGGTCTCGCCTTCTTACACTTCTATTTGTGTGTGTATGAGAGAGAGAGAGAGAGCTGCTTTGAATTGGAGAGAGAGAGAGAAAGAGAGCGGCCTCGAATTGCAGAAAGAGAGATGGAGAGAGAGAGCTGCTTCGAATTACACTGCACTTACATGCCTCTTATCTTGCTTATTTGTCCATTCTCACTATCACCCATATATAAACAACACTGCTTAATCTAGTATAACTACACGTGAAGTCTAAAATATATGCTATATAAACAACAGTAGAGTTTTATCTACAATAAAAGTTAATAAATCTTCGAGAAGATGGAAAAACCATGTGGAATTATAGCATTGTCCAAAATTTGTATATATTGTGTTGGGGTCATATTTTTTTCGAGCTTTTATTTTTGATTACCCTCATAACTTTTGTACCCCCAAAACACAAAAAAATTGTTGTATTTGGGTGGTTTGTGAAGTCTATGTGCTTGGGGGTGCGAAAGTCTAGCTTTCATACTATCAAAAAAAAAAAAAAAACATAGTGCTGAAGTCGAATTTTCAAACTATGGAGATCAATTTTCGTATTTTAGATGGTTCAAAAGATAAATTTTAAAATTATAATTAAAAAAAAAAAATTAAAAGAAATAAGAAGTCAACATAATGTAGTCTAAAATATAGACCATAGAGTATTAATGTCATCCTTTCGATGGTTAAAATCTCTCTTAATCTTCTTTTGAATAGATCGTAATACACATTTTAAGGTTTTGCTCCATGCATAGGCCATTTATACATGCGTACCATCCTTCTACCCCCACTTGTTAGATAAGTATGGGGAATGTATACAATGAAACCAGTTACTTTACAATTACTTATAATTATACGATGTGAAATTTGATAGTTTGGATATGTTAAAAAATTCGAAAAAATTTATTTTAAAGATTGAGTATGGTCAATAGAGTAATTACAGCCACCCAATTTCACATCCAATAGCCAATATTAATGTGACCATCTTGTATCAAAATGTATATAATCTCATGCTACACTTTCTCATAAGGATTTGGTTCTTACTTTTTGAATGCCTCTTGTTTTAAGAAAATATGATTATAAAGGGAAATTTTTGTACCAATATCATTGTTTGAAGTTAGAAAAGAGGTACGAAAATAAAAGCACATACTTTTTTGGCTTCAAAGACATTTCCTATCGAGGTACAGGGCGTGGCAACCGTCCGGATCCGGACTCGTACCCGAACCCAGACTCAAAATTATATTATGGGACCTAGACCCAGACCTGGACTTGAAACTAAAGTCACCAAACCCAAACCAGGACCAAAAAAATATGATGTGGGACCCAGACCTAGATTTGGACCAGACGCAATCCAAAAATAAAAATAAAAAATATTTTTGGATATATCTAAATATATTTCATAAATTATGACCTAAAAGTATAATATGGGATCTGGACCCAGACCCGACCGATTGGATCCAATTTTTGGATCCATACCCAAACCTGGGTCGGGTCCGGGTCTGGGTCCATTGCCTTCTCCCAGTAGGAGAATGTATTGCATAATGCTTCACCTTCAAATTAGCCGTGGAGCTCGATATCCACCGTCCATCAATTCTAATTGAGCTTATTAAACTCGGTTGAGCTTATTATCACATGGTTTGTCTGAACTGTGACTTGAGCTTTAATTGGACCAGGCTTCACGTACCATGTGGAAGTGAATGCCTTCGATGATTTAGTCTTATAAATCAATTGAAATTGAATCTGAGCCCGAGTAACTCAGCCCAACAGCAAAACAAATATAAAAAATTCCAAAAAAATAGAAAATATATGTGTAAAGCAAGATTAATCAGAATATATCAAATTGACATAAAAAAAATAGTAAAAAAATAAATCTTTAAAAATCAATTTGTGTGGGGGTATTTTTGAAATAATTCAAAAAAGAAGAATAAATATTTTTGGCCAAAACACTTTCAAATCTTTGCCAAAATTATGGAAAACATAAAAAAAAAATCAAATTAATTTCAATTTTTTTAGGTTTTTTATTTTTTAATTTTTATAAATATCACTTAGTGGGAGACCCAACTCGGACAAACTCGGGCAAACCGAGCGTACTCGGCCTGAGTACTTGAAACTCGGACCAAGGAGCTCAAGAGAAATCGATCGATACATTCTTCGAATTTACTTTGCATATCCCAATCGTTATTTGTTGAGGTTAACGTACTTCAGTCAAATGAGAACCACATTGACAAATCGGGAACATTAAATATTTTTGGCACAGTTTCTATGGGTCCTAGGACTCATCTTTACCTATGAGGCTGGGCTTCAAAATCTATTTTTGTGATGGATTTTGAACGTAATTTTTAGGTAGATATGATCTCTAACATGGAGATCATCAATACATTATGAACTAAAAAAGATAATTTTTTAAAGAAAATTTATAGGCCATTGATTTTTACAACATTGGACCGGGGTAGAATTGGGGCAGAATTGCTTTCCCATCTGACATCAGAGTGAATGTTTTTTAAGAAAAAACCCCTAAAGATTGGTTCGATATTTACAACAACGAACCGGTGGTAGAATTGAAAAAAATGAAATTAGCAGGATCTCCGAGTAATTTCTGTATATTTTAAGACCAAACTGTAGTAAGGGTTTTAAAACAAGGTACGGACGTAATTTTCCCTACAATTTTCCATTACTATTTACTGTTTTCCTTGTGTTTTTTATTTAAGGAACCCATAGATATGATTATTAGCATATGAAATCAACAATACAACAATTGTTTTTTAAGGAACCGATAGATTTGATTATTAGCATATGATGTTGTGGTAGTGCAGAGCAAGAGGAGATTATGAGGGAGAAGACGGGCGAGGAGACACTAACATGGGATGACATAAAACGTATGACTTACACGTGGCAAGTGGCTCAAGAAAGCATGCGTTTGTTCCCTCCAATCTTTGGCTCTTTCAGGAAGGCCATTGTCGACATCCAATTCCAAGGATACCTCATCCCCAAAGGATGGAAGGTCTCTCTCTCTCTCTAACTTTCCCTCAGCCAGTATTTGAGCACCACCCGGACTCGACTGAGTAACTCTGACTCTAGCCCTGAGGATCCTGAATTTGGTGGTCAATCTTGGCATCTTAAAAAAATTTATAAAAATTCAAAAAATAAGAAATTTATTTGTAAAATTAACACAGTTCATGCATGTGCAGGTATTATGGACAACATATGGGACACATTACGACCCTCAGTATTTTCCCAACCCGGAGAGTTTTGACCCGAACAGGTTCGAGGAGGCCGTGCGCCCTTATGTATACCTTCCATTTGGAGGTGGCCCAAGGCTATGTGCTCGTTTTGAACTGGCCAAAATGCAGATACTTGTCTTCATGCACATGATGGTCACAAAGTATGATTGGTCACTGGTTTACCTGCATGAGCCCATCACCATTGATCCCTTACCTGCACCCCTCTATGGCATGCCCATCAACATTTATGAGAGAAACACTAAAAGCAACTGAATTGGCTCCATAGATTCACTCCGTGAGTCGAATGTATGTGTTGATTTATGATTTGAAAGAAGACATCCAACAAGTCTGCAATCTGTGAGCCGAATGCAAGTATGCGTTGATTTATGATTTCAAAGAAGACACTACTGCAACCACCACCATCGTAAATATGGCAGCACCACCCCCACCACCATCGTCGTCACCACCACCATCGCACCACACTTTGGAATTGCAATTCAAATTAAAGCAATCAAACAGCCCTGGACAGCAAATGATAATTGACCAGATTATCATTTGGTCGATTAACATTTGAAGAAAAACAAAAAACTAATAGCAAAATTTGAGATCAAATTGTGCCTTAAAATTTTGCTCGTGCAAGTACTCAGATCCAGTATTGATTTAAATATGCGGCAATTTCATACATGGACTTTTACATGGAAGATTTTGATTTCACATCCCATGTTTGTCTTACCACCTTCAATCATATCCATTGGTCTCTTATCTCGTATGGGTGTTACTTATGAAACTCATAAAAGAAACCGAAGCATTGGACACTAGATGTATCCAGCAGATCAGAGAGCTGGAGAATGTTTCTATTAGATAAAAAAAAAATCTATTGAAAGAGCATTAAACTACTAGAAAATATGATAAATATACAAAACGGTGTCAAAACCCAAGTCCCCATAACTAGCATCAACCAGAGTGACAATTTGTAAGAAGCCTATGCTCTTTAGAGATGCCATTTGATGACAAAATTACTGTTCCATTAATCACTGGCAACATCAATAGTATGTCAAGGATCACACAGTGTATCGATCCTTTGCCGCTTTGTCCAACCTCTTCGCATCATCCTGAAATAAAAAACCAACAGTGGCATCAAGACTCAAATACTCATAACAATGATCCCTTAATCCCAGTAATACATAAAGGGAAAAGTTTATATAGAGCCGAGGCTCTAAACAATCAAATTTGAGCCCAACTCAAAAATTTCAGCAGAATAGGTTGTTTTGTTGCCCGAATATCTTCAAATTGATCATCTCGACATCAAGATGCATGGACATGAGAAAAAAATGGATTGCAAGTTTTGGAAACAGTGTATTTTGTAACGTATTTTTGGACCGTCAATTTTCAAGATTTTCAAGCTTTCATAGATATGTCGATGTACACTATTTTTGAAGCTTTAAACTTTATAAATAAAGATGAAAATATATTTTAAGGCTATCACAGATATTTCCAGTATTGAAACCATATTTCTTGACAATACTTGAAGGTAGGCTCTAATTTGATTGTTTAGAGCCTAGGCTCCATACAAACCGCACCCTCACATAAATGGGAGGAGCTTACATGGAAAATAAACCCAATAGTGTCATTGTTATCCAGAAATTCCTTCCACTGCTTGCCAATGCTTATCTGTGAAAGAAAGATTCCAAAGATTACTCAGTAAAGTTTGCAAGGATCATGCTAGATACAAAAAAATAAACATTCTTGAAATGTAAGCTTTAAAATATATGAAAGATATCACTTAATCCTTAAGAAAACAGCACTGATAAAGCCTAAACTTAATATCCAATCAACTTTAGCCCAACAGTCTATTGCTTTGTTTCCATGAGTGCAGTCAAGGCACCAAATCTCGACCCCTTTCATTGAGAGGGAGAGATAGTAGAAGATCCTAAAGAGGCAGAAGACAGATAAATCATAGATGCGTGCATGTGAACATAAGACTTATTTAAGAATAGCAGTTCAGCTGGTGCGCTAGAAAGTAATAAAAGACCTCATTTAATCAAGTTAGCAACCCATTCTAGATATTGGATGGCAGGGTAGGGTGGGGGTTAGGCCAGGATTTTTTTTTTTTTTTTTTGGGGAGGATAAAAGGGGAGGGGGTCATCTCAGTTGAACAAGCGAATGTATTTTCACAAGGTTGAGTTGAAGAATTGCCTTTCCTTATTTGCAGAACACGTTCCATGCCAATCAAGGAATACAATCCAATAGGATCAGGATCTGATCCCAAGTCTAAGACAAATGTACTCTTATCAATAAATAAAAGAAAAAAAAATCTACAGGAAGGTGATCCCAAATGCAAGGGAACACATTGTTGAAAAACAGGGGCAGAGTTCCCATCACAAAGCTGTTCTAGAACTGTGGGATCACACTGGTTAAGGCATTCCTGGTACTCAGAATAAAACTTATTCGACCCAAAAAATAGAAATAAAAATAAAATCAGATAAAAAAAAATTCAACTCATTACCTCAAGCAGTAAGCTAATCTTTCAAATTGTGACACAATATAGAAAGGAAAATAGTTAAACTAAGGGGATGTAAAGTATGTTCTCTATTTATTTCAGTCCAACGTTTATTTAGAATTAAGTTTATGCTAAACAAGCTAAACGGCTTCCAAATATAAAAATAAAACAAAAATAAAAATAAATACTGCTGCCTCGCAAATTTACATGACAGTAATATTAAAAGTTCATTGGTTCCTCAATGAAAAGTGCATCAATTGAAATACATTTTAAACCCAATGCTCAAGCCCAAAGATAGATTTACAGGTGATTCGACATGTCGCTAAATTTGTACCACCATATGTACCAGAACGTAATCTCAAGTCTTTTCAATAATTGATAACATGGCTGAAATTTTATTTATTTAATATGAGAATTACTGCATCCCGGCATATAACAGAATCATGTAGCTATAAAAAGCAATAATAAAAAAATTACCTGTGCTTCTTCGTTTGAAGCATTTTTGGTCCATATAGCTATTCTTTCCTGCTTTCCTCTTCTTACACTAACTACTGCTCCACAAATTTCATCACCATAGTCGAATTGTTCACCAATCATTGCCAACAACTATGAAGAAAAACCACAATAAATTATCAACATAATAAATAAGCATAAAGGCATTAATATTTGGAAGAGATAAAACGATGTGGAATGTGAAACTCACAGTGTACAACCACCATGTATCTGCTTTCCCCTTTGCAGTGGTAATTGTCCACTTCCCTCCATTAGCACAAATTGGATCCTCCCATTTTGGCTCAATTTTATCTTTGAAGCAGTGTAAATCAGCACCAACAGCCAACTTGCTCGGATGATGTATGTTGTTGTAAAGGCTGACATTAACAAATGGAGATACAAAGAATCTCATAAATCAGTTGCATTAATGCACTGGTTTTATAAACAACAATAGAAGAATACATAAAATACAAATGACTTGCATCAATAAACTGGTTTCATCAATAAACATGACAAGAATACAGAAATACATGCCGCCTTTTACTTATGGGTGCAGTTTGTATAGAGCCGAGGCTCTAAACAATCAAAGTAAAGTGCACCTTCAAATAGTGTCAAGAAATGTGGTTTCAATACTGGAAATCTTTGTGAGAGCCTTAAAATATATTTTCATCTTTAATTATAAAATTTAAAGCTTAAAAAATAGTGTAGATCAAGCAGATCTATGAAAACTTGAAAATCTTGAAAATTGACGGTCCAAATATGCGTTACAAGATGCACTATTTCCAAAACTCAAAATCCATTTTTTTCTTATGTCCATGCATCTAGATGTCGAGATGATCAATTTGAGGATATTTGGGCATCAAAACAAACTCTTCTAGTGAAATTTTTCAGGTGGGCTCTGATTTGATTGTTTAGAGCCTCAGCTTGATATAATCTTTTTCCTTTACTTAAGACAAAAACAGGGTCCCATACAAGAGTGAAAGAAAACACATTAAAATGACATAGAATGATTGAAGTTTATCAGATGTGAAGCTCCTAATGTTATGACGAAACAAAAGGTTTATAAACATATATAGTTACTAGCCAAACACTAATTTTTTGCCTGCTGGAAAGTAGAAAGAGGAAGAAGTGAAAATCCTTTTTTTCTTTTGAGGATGGTCAGGAGGTTGAGGAAGTTTGATCCCAAAACGGCCTAAAAATAGTCCTAGATTGGGTTCAACCAAGGGAGTGAATAGGAGAAAATGCTCTTACAAACCATAAAATCTTTTGGCATACATGCATGCGCACAAAAACACAAAAACACACACATATTGTGAAATAAAACATAAATAAATTTTGGAGCTCTTGGCTTGGTGGTAAGTGTCGTAAAACCCCAACATAACGTCAATGTTTCCAGGCCGATCTCACTTACTGAACCACCAAACATATATGTATATATACATGGATAGATACATACCAATCTAACATATTATTACAAATCTTTTTAGAGAGAGACGTGTTGATCCTATGTTGTCTCGCTGTTCAAAATACCAGTAGGCATCATGGGGTCGTGCAACATCAGCGCAAGGGGCAAACCATGCACCTCATCCCTCTTTCTCTGGTGCCCCATACCGGGGCAGCTTGGTCATTTTGTTAAAAACCTCAAGGCACTTAATAAAAATTAACACATTTGAGGCAAATGACAAAATCCTAATCCATTAAAGTAAAACCCAACTAAATGAGCCAAGCCACGCGAGCCACGAGTTAAGGGACCAGGTTACCAAGAGAGTGCAGCATGAGAATTGAGATTCGAGGACAAGGGAATAATTGATGATTCCTAGTCCTGAAAATCTAAGCAAAGGTTTGCACGACTCATATACAATTAATTAAAACCCAAATGAAGCCTTAAAGCAAATCACAAGGTGCAGGTTGTTTTCCCAAATTTAGCCCCAAGGTACATTTTAGGTAGATAAAAGGCTGTTTTCCCAAATTTAGCCCCAAGTTACGTTTTAGGTAAATAAAAGACCCCCAAATAAAATAATATATCAATAAAATTAAAAATACTATAAAAATTCAAAATTCAAAATTAAAAAAAAAAATCCACCAAGGGGGTCCAAGTGTTCAATTGTGAGACCCACCTTTCCAAAAAAATAAAATAATAATTACATTTCCTTAGTTGCGTCTTTAGCCATTTTCAATGCCTAGAGTGTTGCCAAATGGAAGAAGAGTCCAATAATAATTACATTAGCCCCTACATGCTTCTTTAATCATCTTGATCCAGAATCAGCAGATCATTGCCACCTGAAGAAAGGGCAATAATAATTACACATCATTATGACCAGGATCTTCCCCTAGTATCTTAGATTTTATCTAATTTGGAATGTAAATAGGTACAATTTTTCCCATCAACAATCATCTTTTAGAAAAAATTTTTTTGAAGTTAACAATCATCTTTTAGAAATTGTACTCCCTAATATTCAAAAACATTTTTCTAGACAAGCATAGAATAGTCATTTTATTATACATAAAACTCTTCGGTATACAAAAGCCATGCCATGTGTCAGTTCATCTAAGATTCTTTATTACATAATTGAGAATGTCAACAACATATCATTTTGCCCATGAACAATTTGTTTTCCCCATATTTGTACTCCTGATATATTCAAGAACATGTTTTTGGTTAAGGACTGAATAATAATTTTATCATCCAAAAAATCCTTGAAAGTACAAAAGGCGCATTATGCCTTAGACCAACATCAAATAATGCTTGGGTAATTGCAAGATCAAATCATTAATGCCTGGACAGTGCATAACCATAGTTACTGTTAGCCCTTACATTACCTGTATTCCATACAAGGCGCAGATCCAACCCCCCCAAAACACACAAAAAGAAAAGAAAAGACAAAAAAAAGAGAGAGTAAATAAGTAATTCTTTCCATGACTGGGTAGTGCACAATCATAATTGCTGTTATGCACTTAAATTACTACTTTAATATTACCTGAGCTATCATCGGTTGTACTTCACAAAGGCAGATTTTTTTCATTGGGGTAAGTAGTTTTTTTTTTTTCTTCTTTTTTTAAAAAGGACAAGCCAATGCGTACATTACTCAAAAAAGCCTAAACCCATAACCACAGTAAGGATTTGGGTTGAGTGACTGAAGAATGAAATTTGGACAAACTTCAAAAAACAGCAGCTTATAAACAAAGTTCAGTGATAAACCATTTGTATGGTGCAATTCTGAATTGCCCTTCAAAACCATTAACCACAGTCAAAATGTGGGACATAACTGTAAGTGATTGAATAATCACAAAATTGAAGTAAAAAGCTTTGAATAAATTTCAATATGATCAATAAGGTCAAAATAATATAGACTTCAAAGTTTGGTAATAAACCAGTAATTTGGATCAAATTTGGAGTCACTGTAGTTTTGAAAGACTAGCAAGGATTACAACTGAGACTCTTCTCCAAACTTGAAATCGATACCAATTTTAAATAAATTGAGAATGTGTTTAAATGAAAAAAAAAAAACAAAAAAAACTTCAATAAAACCAAGTACAATAACTCAAAATTGATCATAAATACATTAAACTGCAGTTAAAATGGTGGCTTTAACGCTGAAACGTGGTCAAAAGTCCAGAGAGACATTTTTAGAAAGCCTTAAAATGATGGACAATGATGCCATCAAGCATCTAAATCGTGCATGCCATCAAGCATCTAAATCGTGTTTTAACACCTTCATAACGAATGTCTTGAGGGAATTAATCTATACGTCTGTGGCGATTGGGAATCCATCCCGCCATTCGAACTTTGGACAAAAAAGGACGAGTTTCACAAAAAGGGACATGAAAGAGACACTCTTAAGATTACAGAGAAAGCAAATGACTAGGAAACACAAAGAAAACATACAGAGAGCATCTGGAGACATTGAAGAAAGGGATTTTTACCAAGCTCCAAAGTATAAGGGCAACTTAAGCCCATTCCTTATTTTCCTTCAATGTACTTTCTATAAATATGTATACATTTAAGGAATTAGAGGTTTTCTGGTTCCAATTTCATACCAGATGTCACTAATGAAGTATAACCAAAGCTCTGGGATGACTGTGCCTGGTTTATATAAGTAAAAGCCTGAAAGGGGTGAATTTGATTTGTTTTGAAATTTTTTATTTATCTGTTTAATTTTAGAATGTAATTTTCACGGAAACACATATGAGCATGGCCTAAGAACATAGAGTACACAGTTCAATCGTGACCTCAGTACAGCCAATACCATACAACCTTAGGTTCCCAATGAACTGAAGATGAACTTCCAAGATTTCACCCAGGAGTTCATGAAGGGCACATCTCTTAAAAACTCATTGTGGATCATTGTCATCGCATCACATCAAGGTTTGACACTGATCCCTCTATAGTGTAGAGCTCAAAGATCAGGGAGACCACCCTATCTTGGATCCCATGAATCCATAGAGACCAAACCAAAGATATCCCTTTGTAATTATGTCAATCATTTCTAGATCAATACCCCCACAAAATGGCAAGATAGTCATATTTTCAATATGCAGACCTGTGACAAAGTCCATGGACTAAACAAAAGAGTTAACAATGCACACACAAAGAGGGGCTTAATGCACTGACGATTTTGAAAAGCCTAACAAAGATGATCCACTATTTCTTCTCCCTGGGAAAACGGGTAATGAATAAACTGGGAACTATTTCTTCTCCCTGCAAAGGGGTGATGAATAAACAAATGATCCACTATTTCTTCTCCCTGCAAAGGATGTAAAAGTTAGGGAACTAAGCAATGATGCTGCAAATGATCCCTGGTCAGCACATTGCCAAGGGGCCACTTGGGACACAATCTCAATTCATTAAACATTCATGAATGCAAACGCGAACACTTGTACAAGCCTAAATGGAAAAAATCCAGAGTTCGGGACACTATCCCATGTGGGCAACGGAATAAATAACTATGGGTACTAGACACGAAGACACTATACTAGTCTCAAAATCCCTACGAAGAACAACTTACTATCCTCTCCTTAGGATGTTCATAGACTCGAAGCAACATATTACAAATTACAGGAAAAGATGAGATACACTTGTCTCAAAACGCACTCTTGAACAAAAGACTCACAAAACCAAGTATCATTCTAAAAGCTAAAAGTGGTCTTTGCCCCCATCCACAATTGGAAATGCAAAACTATCCCTAGAGACAAACCACACTGAAAAAGTAACTCTCTAAGCCTAATACATCATCTCATGCCTACCCAGAGTCTTAAGAAACGCCTACCCTCCCAATCCCATATTTGTAATAAACCAACATATACCAAAGAGAACAACAGTTTGCCAAAAATCTCAAATCCCATTTAATTAGCAGAGATTATTGATGATTCCAAGCCATGCAGTCCTAAATGCCGTCTCGATCTCAGCTTGTATACCTCGTCCTATCTCGCCAGATAAATCCTATAATTCTCGCTAGTCACTATTGCTGCACATAGGAGTGCCACAGCCATCTCTGAACTTATTTGCTATGGTGTTATACCCCTGGGCATCTTACAGAATAACATAAAGTACGTTGGATAAGGTTGATCTAGATATGACTCTTTCAGAAGCAATGGGAAACTGAACTTTCCCATGTGCTATCATCCCTCCACTCTCTTGATCAGGAGGACCTAAAGATTTTCTTAGCATTCTCATCACATAGGTGCAATCTTAAGCGTTTCCCAGATAGGGTATTGAAAATAAATTCCAAACTGCAATGGTTACAGATTCTCACATTAATTACCAACTACCAATCACTTAACTTTTGCTGAAATTGATTCTTTGGTTCTTGCCACCTTAACCACCTAACTATGAGTCAATATTCCACCTTGATCGCCATTTAACCCACAAAACATAGGAGTCATTCTCTCCACTCCTGGGCTAATGTTGAGACCTTCCATCAATCCCAAAGATACCTCTTTGTAGGCACTAACACCATGGTAAAGGGTAGAGAGGACCGAATTGCCTACACTGCCCCAGCGCTTCTAAACGAGCCTCTATGGGAGCTATTAATCGATAGCAAGAATGAATCCATGGAAACAAACTCTTTAATCCACTCCCTCTGTTCCATCTAGTACTCCATATGCATGCACATGTGATTAAAGCCTCATATATAATTAGTCTTCCATGGAGCAAGCTCCTTAAGGGGGGCAAACAATGTAACTAGGCACTACACATAACCTATTAGCTAGAGAGAGCAATGGCAAGGCCACATAATCTCGTACCCACACGACTAAGGATTCCGCTGTTTGAAAGGTTTGAAAGTATGAAGTCCTAGAACATCTTGATAGGAGCCATTTATGACACTAGTTTTCAAGATTCTACAGAACTTGCAATTCAGTGGCAAACAATGAATAGATAAGCAAGAAGTAACCACCAAAGACAAATATAAGACCCCTCCTTTCACATGAATATGTACTTGATTTCACAGGATTTGTCATGGTTCCCAAAACTTTAAACTTTATAATGACCACCACAAAGATGCAGCTCATGGGCAATACATGAAATAACAATGTTAACAAACGTTCTCTTTCAATGGTTTGTGAAATTGGCAATTACATAAATTGCTAACTCGCATGGGCTGCTATAACAATGTAACCCTGCCTTCGAACCTCGGTCTTCATGTTCTATTTGCTAGGAGTGATAATGAAACCTTCATAATACTTCAACATTGTACATGGTATATAAAGATAAGGACTTTTGTAAACCTTACCATCTTCTAGTTATACAAATATATACCTTCTACAGTATCTCAGCAACCAAAATCCAATAATTAAAATTAAACAAACAAGAATCTTTATAGGCACATAGCAACAAAGAAATTATCCGTCAAACAGTCACAGCTTTGAATCTTTTAGTCAGAAAAGTCTACAACCCCACTAAATTAGCCAAAATGCACAAATCATACCCATCTGGTCAGATAAATGCACGACATTCTAGCATCTCAATAAGGTATGGTTCATTTCCACATTGAGAACGAACATACATATAAGCGCAAAAACAGTCTGACCCCATGTAACACAATTCTATGCATTCCTATCCTTTATATGGCCAATAAGAGACAAGGTAATCCTATTCAAACACATTTTTGGTAACTAAATTATCTTCTTCATTACTATAAAAACAAATAGAAGTAATAAAATAAACATTTCAACATAAACGATAATAGGAAGATCCAGAAGACCAGTGTTCCAAAAAACGTTGGGCGGTGCATAGACGACCGGGGGGGGGGAGTCCTTGCCGCCCAGCGCCTAGGTGATTGCCCAGACGTAGGTTGAAGGAGAGGAGCAAGGGGCAGGGGGATATGATTAATGTGTACACATCATAAAATATTAAAAATCCCATAATCCAAAACGTTCCAAACCCTTGTATATTTGTAATAGACAGACTACTAGCACAAACAAAAGTAAAATATAATAATAATCAGTAAATTAATAGTAGAGGCACAATCCATAATCCATACTGTATAGACCATACTCCATGCTCCATCCAGAGACTGTGCGGCTTTCCAATACGATGAGAAAGAAGTCTGAATGGTTCGGCGAAGGAACTTTGGGACACCCTTGGGGAAGTGCACCTGGTGCAGTAGCTAAGTGCTTTCTCTGTTGCTGCCATTTCTTAATTACCAAGCTTTCTTCGTTATAGCGCTTTAAGATCCTGGTGTAAACATCCGAGATCTACGATGTTAAGCCGTGCCCCCTCCTTCAAAATGAATAACGTATTGAAAACATAAGGGGTCTCGTTACTCGGCTTGGGAGCTCTTTCATATTGCTTTGAAACTAGAACTCCGATATCCCTCCCGCTCCCTCAAACACTAGTGCCAGCTTCTTTACTCAGCTTGGGAGCTTGATGAAAAGAGTGCTTAAGGTCTGGTTAGTTGACTTACTTGGCGGATTTCCCTTCATCAGTCGGTGCTCAACTTATCTACGTTGGGATTCGAGCTATCGATTTCAAGATGTTAGGTAAGCTTTGCATAGCAAGCTAGGCTAAGTTGGCCCTTGACTTTACTCTTAAGACTTTTGATAACCTACCCTTTCATCGACTATTGACTCGGCTCATACACGCAAGGAAATAGGAAGGATGTTTCACTTAACCTGCCATATCAAGGGAAGCGCACATTGCATATCGCATATCGAATCTAGGATATGTATGCGAAAGACACATCTTAGGTGCCTAGCCAGGAACAACAATGATACAACCATACAGGTATACAAATATGAATGATAGTAAAACGTAGAAATTATAAAAAAGAAAATATACAGTCTAAGACTCAAACTCCAAGAGTCAAATGTCTTCAGCCATCATCAGAAAAAGTAGGAGTAAGCCTCATCACATGCATCAGATTCAAGGTCATCATCATCAGAGTGACCTCCCTCTTCAATATAATGCTCATCCTCCTCTGTTTCTTCTAAATCTGCCTCTTCCTCCTCTTCTTTTACCCCCCTTACTTTGTGCAAATGAGGCCCTAGGACTTTTGGTTGCTCTACATGGTGCCTCTTCACCATTTTCTTGCTTTTTGTGTTTCACTGAAGTCAAATATTGCTTAATATCCTCCCTGGTAGCCTGAAGAACATTTTTATACACTAGAAACATCCCCCTTAATACCGGCAAGGTGTTTCTGGAACCAGCAAATACCCCCATTAGTATCATTTCCACAATAATTACACATCATACAATTTGTATCATTCAGGTTATGACCATATTTCCAACCCCGATCACCACTTCAAGAAGAACCTAGAGAAGATATTTCCCAATAACAAGGTTCCTTTTCTTCCTTCTCTAGTTTTATTAAATTCAAATATTGCCTAATCTCATCCCTAATAGCTTCAGAACTTTTTTACAAGAAGCAACATTCCCTTTAATACCTGTTAGGTGATTCTTGAATCAATTAATACCCTTATTGGTATCTTTTTCACAAAAATTACACCTTATACAATTTTTATCGTTTGGTTCAAGTTATAACCATGTTTCCGACTTGGATCATCACTTTTCGAAGAACCAGAAATTGACCTATCCAAATGACAAGGGTTTTGTTCCCGTTTGTGTTTTGCTGAACTCATATATTGCTTAATCTCCTTTCTGATAGCTTCAGGAACATTTTGACAAAGTGCGACATCCCTCTCTCTGATAGCTTCAGGAAGATTTTGACAAAGCGCAACATCCCTAATACTGGCAAGGTGTTTCAACAATTACATCTTATACGATTTCCAACACTCTAAAATACCCTGATCAATCTCTTAAAAATTTGAAACAGTGATTGTTTTTTAAGGTTTCGGTTACACAATAACCTAAACCCCTTTCCTTAATTTAGAGATAAAAAACATTAAAAAATAAAAAATAAAAATCCCCACCCAGGAAACCTGCCTAGGGAGATGCCTAGGGGGCCGAAGTTTCGATGATTTGATCCAAAAAATGAAGATCTGGCCAGTCAAAGGTAAAACCCATGGTTGCAGAATGAGTTTTTCTTTAAACATTTTTCTCCTCTAATCTGTTTCAAAGTAACAGTGATTCAGACTAACTCAATAAATAGCAAACAATTCCTTTGGCAACTCGATCATATTGGTACAGTTCACATGAACATGGATCATAATTAGTGGAATTTCACAGCCGACGATGGAGAGAAAGGAAACCAATAAAATTCAAATACAAAACCAAGATTATAACGAATCTAACGACCTATCCAATCAGAAAAACCAAATAATTGATATTCAATACAGTGTGAAGAAGCAAAATAAATAAACCAACCCATCATTCTATCAGGTACAAATAAAAAATCAGATAACTGAATATGCACTCATGGGTTCTAAAAGAGCCAAAAAAATTCTAAATTTATATGCTCCAAGAAACCCAAAAAAATCCAGCACAGAATCAGTTTAAGAGCCATCCCACTACACAATACATGCATTTAGTTATGAAACCCCAAATCCCCATGTTGTTTTATGGAGAGAAAAAAACATGTTGTTTTATAGAGGGAAACAAGGGAAACACGAACTGAGTTGCAGAGAGAAAGAGAGGGCATACCACCAGAAATCTTCGACAGTGGAGAAAGAATGAACAGGGCGAATATGGCTTCCCCACGTCCCCTGCTTAGGACGAGAAGACGGGTTATCGAACCAGAAGGTCCATGAATGCTCAAGGGGGTGAGAAGATTCGAGGCTTCGACTAACAGAGGAGGGGGGACCTGACTCTATGATTTCTCCCTCCTCTGCTGAATCTACAGACACATCTTGTTGCTGATGCTGAACTTCGACTTCCGCCATCGTGGTTCTCTCTCTCTCCTCTCTCTCTCTCTCTCTCTAAGATGCAGGCAGAGAAACGATTCCTCCTCGGTTTTCCTTGAAAGGAAATTGATGCGGGCGTATTCTCAGGACGCTATTCTCGTTTTTCTCCTACGCGTGAGACCCACCCTAGTACCTACTTATGATCTATGGTCTATGCTCGAACTTTTCACACGTGCGTTGCTCCTTTCGCCTTTTGCATGTGTGTACAAGAATATATGTGCACTCAAAGTTATTATTATTATTATTATTATGATTATTATTTTTATTTTTGAGCGGTAGTTGAAGGAAAGGAAACTCTTATATCGTGTAAAAATAAATTCAAGACGTTATGTTGTTATGCCCTGATCACCTAACCTTGAGCTACGTAATATTTTCTTATTGAGGTCAAACCAAACGACCCATTGCTAAAATTTTATTGTGTTGGGTGAAAGCTTTGTTGGGAAGCCAAACTTCTTAGAGAGCCTCTTGTTGGTATGAACTCAGTGAACTAACCTGTCTATAACAAATTGATTTCAAGAAATCCAAAACATCCAGTAGTATTTTGAGGGATTGTTTATAAAGCGATTTACAAAGCGACTATTTTTCTTTTGCACATGGAAGTCATAATCATTTTCTCTCAATGGCGCTTTTGTGACCACCCATTTTAAAATTTAAAGAGCATGAATGATTGTGATCTCTATTTACAAAAGATAAATAGTATTTATGTAGATAATCCCTTATTTTAATAATTTTGGTAAAAAAAACAAAAAATTAGAAAGATTAAATAAAATGGTTTGATAGACCTACAATTCTATTAAAATAAGTAAAACCTCACGTCATAACTCATCAAAAATTACAATTCAAGCATTGGAAAAGTTTTTCAACATTCATCTCGGCTAGAACATTATGGTTGTGAAAAAAATTATGATTTTAAGTTCTAAAATATTATAACAAATTATTTAGACCGTCCATTCCACCTTAAAAATAAGTGTTTATAGATCCGTATGATCTCTATTATTATTTGAGTTTCAAATTTTCTTGTCGTTATTAGAAATCGATTTTAGATCCATCTTGGAGATTTTTGTTGCCGAAAATGCATTTTAGATGAGGATTTTGTTTTCATAAAGCTCAAGACTAAACTGACAACATAAATATGTGCGGCTCATCCTAATTAGGCTAGATACACATACAACCGACAATGATATGACTTCATTATCAAGGAAGATTTATAAGATTGGATAGATAGAATAAGTTACCTCACGATAAACAAAACATTGTTGATTGCCCTTTTGACTCGTCACTGTGACTCCACTTACAATGGAAAATGCTAATAAAACCACCCAAATAAGCAAAAATGTTGGTTAGGATTTTTCCCAAAAAAAAACTTCAACTCGATCACAATGGAAAATGTTAAATAGCTTATAAACGCCCCATGTAAAGTGGTTACCCTGACTAAAAGTTTCATTGAACGATGATGAAAACCCATCATACGTGATTTTTGGACCATCAATTTAATAATCTCCACATTGATACAAAATTGAACCCTTGCCTTGCCAATCATATTTAATTATTCTTTTTATTATAGATCTCAGAGATTTTAACCATCACCACACGCTCTCTAACCAAATAATCTTCATAAACATGCCTTACTCATCTTCCTTCACCTTTTCCACTATTAAGTTTTAGAGGTCATCCCACCTTCATATATGTTTTAGCCAAGCCTTTCCTTCCCACCTATAAATAGAATTAGTGCTTAATCTCGTCACTGAGATCTCTTACATAATACAATTCCACAAAACCTTATATATGGTTTAAATCTTACCAATACTTGCCTATACTTATGATGTAGAGAACTTGAAGAAACAATAGAAAATTAGCAAGAAAGTACCTTGACGCATGTAATTTTAGAGAAACCCTAAAGCTTTCTCCCACCTAAGACTCGAACCTTAGGTTTCTTTTCTCAAGACAAAGTCTTTTTTCTTTTTTAAAAGATGAATACACGAATGCTCCAGCCCATCCACGCTCTTATTTATATTGAAAATTTATTGTTTTGAATGATATTTATCCATAAAATTAACTATCAATCAAAAAATTCTAACTTAAGTAAATAAATAATACTATGCAATAGATAATATATACTATTATATAATAGAGTTTGCCTAATATTATGTAATAGCCATTAACATGTCCCTTAATATATAGTAGATGTTATAAGCATTATATAAGTCTACCAATGTAAATTTTTAGTTTTGCTTCTAATTTTTTTATTGAAATTATATATTTTATTAACTAAAGATAGGAATTATGTGAAATCAGATATCCCTAACCACCGTTAGACTGACTATTGTAGGTTTTATGTATTTTTAAAGTAAAATAAGATAAAGTATACAATGAGACCATTTATTTTTGGTATAAGGTGATCACAAGTAATCTTGATCATTGGATGTAAAATTGGGTCATTGCATTTATTATTTGGACTCACTCAAAGTTCAAAAAAAAATTTCTCGAACTTTATGACACACCAAAGCTATCAGATTTCACATTGGATAGTTATAAATAATGCGACCTCATTGTACCAACAGTAAGTGATCTCATTATATACAATCCCTTCAAATAAACATCCAGGGGCATTTCCCAATGTATAAAAATTGGCTTGTCCTTGGTACTAGTCTAAGTTGGACTGGGAGGGGAGTCTCTATTATAGATTGAAAATCCCTGGAATCACTACAGTCTCCCAATTTTTCAGTATTTTACTTCAAATTTTTTTCTTGTTAAAAACTCCCGGTCCAATTATAAACTCACTCAAGTTGGACCAGGGGACTCGGGCTTGGACCACTGACAAGTCGGAACCTGAGTCTAACTTTGTATACATTGGTATTTCAAACTGTTTTTTGTTGCATACGTGGTCCAATCAGTGAAAATTCTCACACCCTCTTTAATGTTGTCTCATCGGTCCGAATCAGATATTAGAACCAAAGCCTTTATAATCATATCAAACCATGCTTAAGCAGATTTATTATTCCTCTTCTTCTGTGTTCTCTCATGCTTTACATTAATTTTTTCTCTGTTACTTTTTTGTTGCAGAGAAAAAATGTCATTTATTGAATTTTTGTGCTCATATGCTTGCTATTTTTGCATATTACATCCACCTTGACATTCACAACGGCTTGTGCATCAACTGGGATCACAGTTCTAATTGGTAACGATCTTGGACAGGGCTCGCAAAACCATTGTGTAAGTTTGAGTGCAATTGCCACGGCAACTTTGGGTGCAACAAAATCTGTTCTTTTCTTTTCTTGCTCATGAATTTAGAGAGAGGGTTTGTGGGAGTAGCTCCATTGTCGAAAATTTCACCATGTTCTATTCATTTTGTCCCGAATGTGCATATGTTTCGATATATATTGTTCTTTTGTCTGTGTTTACTTCTTATGTATATTCTTCAGGGGAACCATTGTTCTTCTTCTTATTATTTGAAATCAATTGGTCCTTTGTATTATTTTAACTTTCTTGATTCTTTGTTTGAGACTTATTTTGTAATTCTTGTTTAATCATTAATTAGTTTGTATCCTGGTACTCGTTTGCCTTTGAAGTGGATCCCTGTACTGTTTTTTAATTAAATAAATATATGGTGATATTTTTTTTCTTTTGACAATGTTATGCTATTTTAAATTACACATGAATCAAAACATAAGAAACTAAAAGATCATCAAGGCTCGCACCAAACTTGGCTAAACCATGGACTACGGAATTGACCTCCCAATAAACATGTTGAAATGAGACCATCAAATTCTCATAGATATCTATGACCTCCGACCACATCCGCAAAATTGTATGTGGCGGTCTACTGCATTTAGTACACTAGTTGATCATATTCAGAGAGTCACCCTCCACACAGTAGCATAAATTTGAGAATCCATCCCTCAGCAACCTTTTCGGCATAATTTGCCGTATTGACCCCACAAGGACCTACGTAGGAAAGTAATACCTCACCATTTGAGTCCCTCACAACCCCACCACGCCGGGCCTGGGTTTCTCAAAGAACTCCCATCAAATTTTAGTTTCAAGCAACCGTCCAAAGACGGATGCTATCTACCTTTTGGTCGAATATTCTAAGAAAAAATTGTTACAACATACCCTATGTGCCTTAGAAACTCCAAAGCCTTCTTTTGTAATCGAAAACCAACTCCACAAATTGTCCAAAATCCTTCTTTTGATCTTTTCCACGGCAAGAATCACACCCTCAAAAGTCATTCTATTCCTTTCTTTTTCATATTTCCCATAAAATTGATTCCCTAAAAATTTTCCACAAAATTCAACCCCCCCAAGTTCCAGGTGAACAAAAATATTGATTTGTCCATTGGGCAGCAAAAGATAAAATGCCATCAAACCAAATGCCCATCACCATGTAGCACTTGAAAAAGGACAATGCAGAAAAAGATAGCCTCCGTTCTCCTCATCCTCTTTACAAAGCAAGCAAACATTAACCAATATTTTTCCTCTTTTTCTCAAATTATCTATTATTAGGGTCTTATTTTGACGAAGGATCCACAACAAAACTTGAATTTTGTGCAGAATGGGCAGCTTCCGGACAATATTGAGTGGGCTTCGATCCTCTCTATAACAACCATGGTAAAGCAATCTATATACATATTTGATTGAAAAGATGGAGATCCTGCTCACATTCCCAAATCTCATCATTCTCACCCTGCAATGACATGTATACTAAGCTTAGTTCATTCAACAAAGCATACAACTAATCAATGATAACGTATGGTATTATGTAAACACAATCCAAATCCCAATAAGAATTTCGCCCTTGCGATAACCTCAACTCTGACACCCTTCGCTGATTGGTTCGCAGCTCTCGCAAACAAATAAGTATAAGATAACTTGAAAGCATAATTACCTACCTATATGTGATGCCAGAAGTTAATCTTATGACCTCTGCCTACTGCCCATCTAATATTTATGTTCACCAGTTCCTTAACACCCCACCTTCCTTTCCAAATTTCTGAAGCATTGCTCACCTAGAAAGCCATCCTCCCATAAAAGATTTCCTACTAAAGCCATGTTTAACCTCTATAACATGTGTCCATAATTGGTCCTCACAATTTAATGCTCTCAACTACCATTT